ATGTTTCGCATAGAAGTTGTCGCGCTCCACAATACCGGCGTTCGCGTATACAAAGTCTAACCTTTGAGATGGGCTGTAGCTGGCTTCGAACGCGGAGACAAGCGAAGAGTAATTAGTGACATTTGTCTGGTGGAACTGGGTATTCTTCAGCTTGCTAGCTGCTTGTTTGCCGGCTTCGGCGTTCATGTCCAGGAGGTGGAGTTCCCAGTCTTCGTAAGTCCGATTCGAGAGAGCTGTTGCAACAGCTAGGCCCATGCCTGATGCTCCGCCGGTGATCAAAGCGACCTTCTTCGACATCTTGGGAAAAGCGTTCGTGATCAAGACCCTCTTTGGAAATGTTGCGTATATGGGACAATTAGGAGTTGGATAGCAGGTCGACAAATCAAATTGCAATAATAGTCGATATGTCAATTGCACTGTTGTATAATATAGGCTATCAGGGTGATACTGGCCTTCTAGGTGAGTAGCTCAGGCAGCCGCCTTACGAAAACGCAGAGACGTCCCGAGTGTGCCTTCTCCGCATTTACTAGGAAAGCATCTTCCGAGTTGACAGCTTATAGTGAGGGTTAATTGGCAATCCCTTGAAATATCTCTAAGCATAGCCGTCATGCTTCCTCACGTCGCGGTTTTCTTCAGCGGTGACCATTTCCACTCTTACGTCAAAAGCCGATCCCACCTGCAATATGGATTACGCTCGTAGGCATCGTCGCGAACTCTAACTCTACAGCATCTGGCATGACTCTCGTTCAACCTGCGCGTGTAATCGACATGATTCAAAGCTGTCGTACGCAGCTTCGCCATGGCCGTCACACAGCATGACGCTGGGCGATGCGGGGAAAGTGGAGACGCTGACTCGACGCGTGCACGCGCCGAAGACACGGAAAACAAACCGCGAGCGCCATCGCCATCATCCGGACAAACGGTCTTGCGACACCACGTCGTCGCCAAGCTAACTTCTCCTCATGCAGTGCTACCCATGGCTGCAATGCGTTCGCGCAGCCGACAGCAACCGCCACCAGGCTGCAGACCTCCGGAGTTGACACTTACCACTTTAGTTAAGAGGTGAGATTACTTAGCCAGCGCTTCATACGCGTGCGCCGTCTCTCGAGTACAAGTTTAATATACTCTTCTTGGACCCTACATTTCGTGCTTTCTTGCAATATTCTTCCTCACATTTCGCCCATCATGACACTACAATACTCTGCCAAAAACCTACCAAAGCAAATCTTCATCAACAATGAGTATGTTGACTCAAAGTCGCCGAAGAAGCTCACCTTACACAACCCGAAGAACGGCGAGCTGCTTGCAGATGACGTGCCCTTAGCAGGTGAACAAGATGTCGATGCTGCAGTTGATGCGGCGGACAAGGCGTTCCCAGCATGGAAGAAGATGAGCGCGAATCAGCGCCGAGGTATCTTGAACAAGTTCGCAGATCTCATCGAGCAGAACGCAGAGGGTATCGCACAGTTATCAAGGATCTCGCTCGGTGCGCCAGCAGCCTTTGGTGCTTTCGAGATTGGTCTTTGCGCAGAGGTGCGTACAGCTTCCGAAGACGTAAGAATGTCTACTGATGCTACTCCAGGTTTTCAGATACAACGCTGGCTTCATCGACAAGTTCGGCGGCGAGTCTTGGCCCCAGGAAGACGGCTTCCTCAAGATCGTACGCAACGAGCCTCTCGGTGTCACCGCAGGCATTGTACCTTGGAACGGTCCTATCGGCACCATTGGCCTCAAGGCAGCTCCGGCACTCGCCACAGGAAACTGCTTCATTCTCAAGCCCTCAGAAAAGACACCCTTCTCGTCGCTGGCTCTCGGTACGCTCATCAAAGAAGCCGGTTTCCCACCTGGTGTCTTCCAGATCCTCTCTGGAGATGGAAGCACCGGTGCTTTGATCGCGAGCCACATGCGCATCCGCAAGGTCAGCTTCACAGGATCTATTGCAACAGGAAAGAAGATCCAAGAGATGGCCGCAAAGTCTAACCTCAAGCGTGTCACCCTGGAGCTAGGAGGAAAGTCACCCGCCGTCGTATTCGACGACTGCAACCTCGACAACGCGGTGACCTGGACCGCCAATGCCATCACTGCCAACACAGGTCAAGTCTGCTTCGCCGCCAGCCGCGTCTACGTACAAGAAGGTATCTACGAGGCCTTCATCGAGAAGTACAAGCAAGCGATGAAAGACAAGACAAAGGAAATCGGCGACCCAGACGAGACAACAACCAACATCGGGCCCCTGGTCGATGAAGCCCAGTTTAAGCGCGTGCAAGGCTTCATCGAGCGCGGTCAACAAGGCGGAGGCACTCTCGCAGTCGGTGGCAAGCGCATCGGCACATCAGGCTACTACCTCGAGCCTACCGTCTTTACTGATGTCGATCCCACTTCTGAGATCCACTGCGAGGAAATCTTTGGCCCTGTTTCTGTCGTCAAGTCCTTCAAGACGGAGGAAGAGATCATGCAGTTGGCGAACAACACAAACTTTGGCCTCATGGCCGGTGTATTCACCCAGGACATCAACAAGGCGTTGCGCGTCGCAAGTGACTTTGACTCGGGTATGGTTGGTGTCAACTGTGTGAGTCTGATGTTCACCATGACACCGTTTGGTGGAAGCAAGGAGAGTGGGTTAGGCAGGGAATGTGGCGTCCATGCGCTGAGGGCGTTTACGGAACCGAAAACGATTATGATAAACATGAACTATTGAGCTGTCAGTTAGCTGTTTGGATAGGACTTCAATAGGTATTCTGGTTTTCATTGCTGTCTCTTCATCAGAGCGCTGGATATAGTAGTGCAGTTTATAGAAATACCTCTAAAAAACCTCCTTCTTTGCACACTATTGTGCGGCACGATTGCATGGCACGTCACGTCTCATAGCTACGGGATAATCTTGGCCTTCCTCATCCTGTCAAAGACAGTCCCCCAAGTCTGCTTCGTATCCCTCTCCTCGGTGAATCCTGTTGAGTACATCTTGGTCATATCGAATTGACGATCAAAGTCGAACTTGGTCATGAGCATCGATTCGGCAATCTGAAGTCCACGACCACCGTCCACATGGCCATGTTGCAGCCCATACTTCTTCTCCATTGCCAGCCATGTCTCCATGTTGTCGTTGATGAACTTGCGCACATCAATGGGAGTGGCACCAGGCCCAGTGGCCTTGAGGCCAAAGTAGGAACACAGAATAGGCCATTTCTTCTCCCAGTTTGAAGGTGTCTTGGAGTCGGCGACGTTGTAGGCCTCTCCCTTCTTGGTGTTGGGGGAGAGTGTGAGGTGTATGGTTTGACGCGCAATCATGTCGCTGGAGCTATCGTTGCTCAGCGCTTTCCAGACTCCTTGGTTGCCAGGGAATGGGCATTCAGCACCCTCGCCATGGATCTCCTTGTAGAGGCTCAGATAGATACCCAAGGATGTACCCAGCGAGTAGAAGTTCTGATTGGGCACGTAGCCAATGATGAGATCGGGACGAGTCTCGATCCAGCTCCATTTCTTGTCTTTGGCGTAATTGGCGATCCAGTCGTTCTGTGCGTGGTAGAACAGCATCTCGGCGTACGGGCTGGGTATGCGGGGGTAGGATTCTTTGAGCGGCGGTGGAGGGAGTTTGGGCCCGGTGGTGCCCGGAGGAGCGACTTCATCGAACCACGGAAGTGCAGCGAGGAGATGGCAGCCATCTAATGTACGTTAGTCTTGGGTGTCCAACACCATCACAAGAATGGGGTAGGACTTACAGATCTTCGAGCCGATTTGTAACACAACGTATTCCAAGTTCGGGCACAGCTTATCCATAGCTGTCACGGCTTTGGAAAACATTTCCACTGCCTCGTCCAATTCCTTTTGTACATCCATGCCCGCCTTATACGCAAAGTAGTATACGTGCGTCACCTCCCCGATGTCCGGGATCTTCTCTGCCAGCTCCTTGTTGAGACTCTCTTGGCTATGCGCGAGTAGGTCAATGCCAGAGACCAGGTTCAGGCGCGGGTCCTCTGGCCATTGCGTTTGGTTCGGGGTAAGGGGGCGATTGTTGAGGCCATGAACCCGCTTCCATATGTTCTTCTCGGGATAGTCGGAGAGGATCTCGTTGACGAAGGACCATCCTGCATGATCATAATCAGTGTGAAGCTCATCTATAGTCGTTTGAGGGTTTTACTGACCGGTCACACCGGATGCGCCAAACACGACAGCTGACTTTGACATCCTTCAAGACTTGCTATGGGTGAGCTTTGAGAAGAGTGAGGCCTCAAGGATAATGAAGCTTTTAAGCAGGGCGAAGCGATAAGGTGCCAGCACGGCGAGTGTCGAGAACTAGTCCTTGAAGAGACCACATGTTGTCTCTTTGCATGGGCGACCAGTATGGAAGGTGGGGGTTCTATTTGCGATTGCGATAGTGGAGACATGAAGTCTAGATGGGTACTCTCCTACGGGAGTTTTCCCATACTGCCCATGGGGTGTACTAAACGTCAGTAGTACGGACACTTGTGCGTAAGCTACCTACCGCGCGCATAACTTCAAACAGCCGCTCTACACTCTACAGATCGTCAGCGCTCTTCTGAAGATCCCGCGTCGCATCACGAGGAATTCAGAAGGAGGCCCGGTCGCCTCGGCGGGCCATCCGGTACCCATGAGTTGTGGGGTTGCCGCGAGGAGGGCCCGAGAATATAGCCGTTTTCGAGTCATCCCAACCTCTTTTGGACGCGTCGCCGATTCAGGGTATGCAAAATCTAGATTGAGGGGCCCGTTGAGTGTATGCGACATGTGCGCGGCGCGTCGACGTCTGATGAGGAGCTCATAGGACAATGTCGTGGTGGAGGAAGGAACGATGAGGAGACGTGCTAAAACAATTTCTCAGGGTCCATGACGTCGGCGACGCGCCGGGCGAGAAGGTTAGCTTCCCCTGACACTCATCTTGCGCACCCAACACAACACGACCGCATCATCGATATGTCCAACAATATGCAAAAGATGGTATGAGGAGACTCAGATTATCAATTAAGCTACAGCATTCTATGTGCTCAGTGGAACTCGTTCTTGTCCGCGTACACGTCATTCTCGAGGAAGACCTCCACCTTGTCCGTCATCTTCGGTGTCAAATCCTCGCAATAGAAGATGCAGAGCAATCCTACGATACCAAAACTCAGGCTACTGAGTGCCACGATCTTTAGCGCGTGCGCATAGCTCCATTGGAACGCCAAAGAAGCCGCGCCTAGTGCCTCTGGACTTGTACCTGGCACTTCGGCGATGGCGGCTGCGCCTAGGGGCATAGCGGCAAGTAAAGCTTGCGCGTTCTCCAACGACATGCCCGCCTTCACAGCTGCAGCGGGAACCGTCGCAGCAGCGCGAGTGGTCTGGGTGTTGGTGAGGATAGTGGTATAGATGGCTTGAGCCAGCGATCCTCCTGCGTAACGAGCCATACCCGCCAAGCCACCTGAGAAACCGAGGTCTTGTTGTGGCACGCCAAGCTGCGTAAATGCGATGGACTCGTACTGTGCCCATCCGAAGAAAGAAGCGTTGATGCAGCAGAACGCGATCATCAAGTTCTGGTTGAACGGGGTGACAAGGCCCATCAAAGCACCGAAAAGCACCATGCCAGTCCAGGTACCGATCAACGTCCATTTCCAGTGTCCGATCACGTTGCCGAAAGCCATGAGGCATAGTGATCCGAAAACAAGGCCTACATTCGGCGGCAGTGTGAGCAGCAACTCGGTACTCCGCGACACGTTCGGGCCCAGGTAGAAGACATTAACCATTGTCGGCCAGATGATGTTGACCGAGTAGTAGAACATGGTGACGATGAACGCTACGATGAAAGGCGCCGTAAATTCCCTTCCTTTGTGGCTCCGGAATAGGTGTGGCGGGCAGAGTTTGAAGCGAGTGTTCGAGAGCGTCTCCCAGACTCCAAATGCAGCGATCAGGACGAACCCGACTACCATGGGTGCAATGACGGTTACGTCTGAGCTTGGTTTGTATGTGGTGTTGATGATGCCAACAAGCGCAAGGCAGATGCCTGGGACAATGAGTGCAGTGCCCACATAATCGAGGCCGCGGACTGCCTCGGACCATGGAACGCCCTTGGGGTGCTTCGGTGGCTTGTAGAGCAAGAAAAGAGATATAAAGGATATGGATTGAGCAATCAGACCAGCCCAGTATACCCACTGCCACGCATTGACGTCGATGGCGTACTGTGAACGATTGTCAGCTATTTCGCCCAGCAGGTCGAAGCACTGCACTCACTCTTCCAACAATAGGACCAATTATGACAATGAGGAAGACGAAGCCATCCGAAAGACAGATACCAATGTGCCGGAACTTGTTCGGTAGAAGTTCTGTAACAGTCAGACCTACTAGCATGTAAAACACAACGCAGCTCACTCACCAGGAATGCTACACATGGCCATCTGCGCAAATCCAGCTCCGAATCCGGTTATAGCCAGTCCAGCTGTGAAGTGGTCTGCTCCTTTCGCTGTCGCGGTCACGATGAAACCGACGCAACAACATGCATTACCAAACAACAAGAACCACCTCCTTCCAAACAGATCGGAGTTCGCGCCCGCAAGAAGGAAGCCAATCGCGTTGGCTGTTGTGTAAGCGGGTATGAACCACGCGCTCGCTGTCGGAGCACCGAATTGAGTGGCAAGTCGAGCCATCATCGCTGAGGTGGTAGGTACAGGCCAAAAAGAAAGACCGAAAGTCGAAGACAGGATGAAGATGACGAGCCATGTCTTTGGTGTTATAGTGGTTGTATCTGGGGTGACGAATGTCTGTGGTGGTGTCGCTGCAACAGTTTCGATTTGCTCAATGTCTCTCTTCTCGTCCGATGGCCGACGCAGGCCGCTCTCGTGGACGGCAGTTACTGCCATGGTTTGGTGAAAGGAAAGTCGCCTGATGCAGGTGCGACTTTGTGTAACTGGGGTGAGGGATCGTCGTAGAGAGCCCACTTATGGCTTGCATATATCCCTTCGCTGGGTCTTGTAGACATGCACAGGTCACATCACATCAAGCCACTGGTCCGACACCTGGACTTTCCTCCAGCCCCGCATCTCGGATACACAGAAGCACAGCTAATTATGCCACTGGGTTGTTCTATTGGCTAGATTCCTCCATCATTTCAGCATTTTGTTGCACCTTCTGGAAATCCGGGGTAGTGGATGTGGATGTGGGTATCCGAGACTGACTGCGGAGAAGAATTGCGCCACATCATGGCGCTTGACTGGAAGTGGTAGTGGGCGATCAAGGGGTGAGGATCGTCTTCACCTGGAACAACGTTTCCGTCGGTACTGAGTTATGCGTGAAAGCTTATTTCCGACATCCGGGCGTTCACCTCGAGATCGCAACCATGACCATCATTGCACGTGCAAGATACAGGGTGTACTGTGGACTTTGAGCTAGACGAGACCGACATGTGACACCACGATGCTGAAGTCCTGGAGTTGGCCAAGGGTTGGGCTAGTTTGGTTGAGCTGAATAGATTAGTTTGCAAACCGTAAATCTGCATCAAGGCATGGAAGAGACATGATGGACTGATTCAGTGTGGACGTTATCTAGTCGCAGAGAGACCATGTGTAAATAGATAGATATGGTAGTCTTCCGCTCTAATCCACTACAACGCCTAGTACGTTGCATCCCGGACTATGTCTACTTGGCGCCCAGACTACGCATCCGCTCTGCGCGTAATCCCATCCGTAGCATCGCAATCAGGAATCGCTTTTCCAAAGCAGATCATATCATGTCTAGACTCATTTCATCAGCAAACCAGTTCACACTAACCACCAACCTCGCCGACATTACCCGCCAAAACAGGAACAAAGAAAGACTCACCCAGCCATGACCTGGATTCCCTTCTCCAGATCCATAAACTTCTCCGCATCCGGCATGAGTGCAGCCCGGTACTCGTCGCTCCCGGCAAAAGCCTCCCAATCTTCCCACTTCTTCACCCAGATTTGACTGCAAGCATCGTAGTCTAGTAGATCCATGCCCAAGCTCTGCAGTTTGCCTTTGAGGCCTGGTGATTGGTAGTGCTGAACGTATCGTTGTATCTTGACAGCGTGGAACTTCTTGCAGGCGACGGTGAGGTCGGAGTGGATGTGGTTGTAATGCATTTTGAAGAACTCATCGGTAACATCGGGGCGCTTGCGAAAGAAGAAGGAGAGCTTTATACAGGCTACAGGATAGCATCAGTACATGATGTATTCCAGTGGCGAGAGGATGGACGGACGCTGGTAGTTCTCTTGTTTGTCCCATTCAAACTCGGGATTTGCGAAATCATGCTGCTGAAGTGTTAGTCATGCATGTAGGACAAAAAGGGCGGAGAGCATACATCGATAGTCTTGTAGGTCATATCAGCGTGTAGTTGGTGATCGTGTAAGAAAGTCGAATGCTCTGGGGTTGTCGGCTCCCAGAACCTAAAGTACCTGTGTATCCCACAAGTACAGCCACTAACAGTGACCCTGCATAACCGACCGAGGAAAACAGAGCAAGCCAAATTCAGCGTGCGGGGTCTAGTATAAGGCGTTACTACCAGTGGCACGATCGAAGCAGGCTGCCTAATGTCAGGTTGTACAATTGATCGTTGGTCAGTGGTATGAGCGCCTCACAGTATGTAGGCATCGTGATGACGGTCCTCTGTTGATATCGTAGAATTAATGCTGGACTAGATAAATAACGTGTCTAGAATACAACAACCTGTCTCTTCTCCGCTTTACCAGCCTCCATATCAGCGACCATCTGCGGCAAATCATCAATCTTGCGGAACTCGACTTCTGGTTGTATGCTGCGGAAGGTCAGAAATTGTTTTCACATGTCATAAGAAGTAACATACCTGTGCTTGCCAGTGAAATCCACAGCCTTCTTCATTCGCTGCGGAATACCCGTGCTGTCGGCCTTGATGCGGTACCGTCCTGTTGTTAAGTCGAAGGTGTTGATGAAGTCCAGTCCTTTCGGTGCGATTCCAATGACCATGAGTAGTCCGCCTGTTCTCAAGACATCTGGGGCGCCGGCGTATGCTGCATTCGATGCGCTGTAGACCGCCGCTGCGTGGCATCCTTTGCCTCCAGTGAGCTTCTTGATCTCTTCGAGATAATCCTTGTTCTTCATGGAGTTGAAGACAGCTTCCGCGCCGACCTTCTTCGCCACATCGAGTTGGTTGTCGTTGATATCGAGACCGATAGTCTTGATACCCATCTGTCTACTGTCAGTCGCCATGCGTAGCGCAGCTTTCTGCCCAAACTTACAGCTTTTGCATATTGTATCGCATACTGTCCAAGACCGCCGCACCCGATAACCGCCAGCCAATCGCCCGCCTTCAACTCACAGCTGTCCACTGAATGAAATGCTGTGATACCCGCACAGAACAGCGGTGCAGTCTTACTCATATCGAGGTTTTCGGGTAGCTTGACTGCATTCTGCCAATCAACGACCGCGTACTCGGCGAAGTACCCATCCGACACAAAACCTTGTAGTTTCTGGTTACCCGTCTCGCATCGCATGTTGTGGATCATGCACCCTTCGCATTCGAAACACGCGCCGATGAAGTAGTTAAACCCGATAGCATCGCCTACTTTGAAGCCTTTGTCGCTTGCTTCCGCGCCGACGGACTCAATGTAGCCGACTCCTTCATGGCCTAAGGTAACGTTGTAATCGGGCCTCATGGCCATGAGCAAGTCTGAATGACATAATGATGCTGACTGTATCTTGACTAGGAACTGATTTGGTGCTTCGGTGGGTTTTGGCACGTCATTGACGACGACCTTTTGCTGCTTGCTGGATGTCTTGTCAGTCTCATACTCAGTGAGGACTACCTAGATACTGTGTACTTACGGATCCCACTGGCCAGCTTTCATGATTAGAATTGTCCCGACGTCTCTTGTGTGGCTTTTGGTATAGCTTGAGGACTATGTTGGATCCAAAGAAGAGTATAAGTACCTACTCTGCGCTTCGCATTCACTCTACCTATGTATGCAACGGGTTGTGAGGCGCGACAGAACAGGAAAGACTGCAGGGATTGTGCTGCGAGTCATCCCGACACCATGAGGGCACCGTTGCTGACTTGGCCTTAGCAAAGCCGTTCATACGGAAAAAGGTGGCCGACATGGCGCGCGGGCTGAGAACGTTTGGCTAGAGGTGAAGCCTGGAGGATGCTGGGTGCGTGGCGCGCGGGGAAGGAAGAAGCGGGGTCCAGATGTCTAGCTCAACCACCTCCGCGCGACCTTGTCTTCATGCGTTCTACGCCGGACATCGAGGGCATGTCGCATTGTACAGGCAAAACGAGAATGCGCCACTGTAGATACTAGTTATGGCTTAGGTACGATCGATAGTACAACGCATAGGAGCGGGTGAAGGGCAAAAAGAAGACAGGGGCAAACCCCAAAACGATCCTGGAGCCATCATCATCTTGGGCAATCGTCTACCACACCTGGGCATGCTGCCCTCTGAGCACAATATACCCTGATGTAACAGCACCTGCCTCTAGTGGAGCTTCTTTCCTTGTGATCCGCGCATCGCCGAACGCCTCAGTCCACTTGCTCGACTTCGTTGTTGGCCATCATGGGTCATGCGGCTTTACGTGCGCTGCGGCGTCTAGGGCTCGACGTCGCTTTCGATTTGACGGGCTGATCTCGGGTACAGACACGTCGTCATTCTGACTGCGCGAGAGGGCAAAAGATAGTATTTCGATAAGGGCGCATATTCCTCGTGTGGTCGTGCGATCGATGTTCATGTGGGAGGAGATGAAGCGGCGCCAGAAGCAAGGGATTGCGCAAGCAGTTAGCGCCCATCGTTGGCGGGCTGCGGCCCCGGGCTTTGGAACGCCCACAGCATGGACGCCGTTCAACAAAGTAACCATAGAACGTGGCGAGGCAGCGTCTATCAGAAAACACGTCCTCGGCAGGGACATGCAGCTGGCATCAAGATTTTGGGAATCTGTGAAGGCAGTATACCTAGGCAGGCTGAAAGCTGTCGCGAGACGCTTTCAAGGGTGAGTTACATCAAAACACCTGGCTGCGAATAATCTCGATCTTGGCTGGATGTATTGAAAGCTCTGTTTACAGATGAGACCGCTAAGAATTCAATAAATTTAGGCTCAAAGAAATTCTAGCACGTTGCGCCATTACATAGTGGCGGTTCTCAGCCATAGCTACCTACCTAATTAAGTAGGTGATGACCCCCAACTGCTACAGATTGCTCTGTACTTGTGCTGTACTAGCGGCAGACGGCACAATTGCTAGCTACGCCTTCTTCGAGGACTTCATTTTTGCCTCAGGCTGGTCGTCTCCCGCTTCGGCGATTCTGGGTCTGGGATTTTGGCGCGCCCCTTGCTGCTCGAACCCTTAGCCCAGGCTACGAGAACAGTAACGATTGTGAGCCTAGTCACAACCCTCACAAGTCCAGGAAAAAGGCTGATCAACCAAGCAAGCAACCTTCTTCTCCAAGGTGACTCGTCGTTGCGATTTATGTACTTGAACGCTATCCATACAGCTACGCCTGTCAAGACCAGCGTCAAGACCTCGGCACTTACTATCGAGAGTCAGTCAGTATTTGCTTCGATTTTGCATAGTCTCTGATCAACACGATCGTATGCTACACTGGTTTGGAGCGTTGCAAAGCACTTACCGAAGATGCCGCCGATCTTGCCACTGTGATAAACACCGTCTCTGCCAAAAACCTGAAGACTCTCAAAGCCGTCGATTTTGAGAGCGAAAAGTGCTGTAAGGAACGCAAGTGGGGTGAAGACCACTGTGATGACGGTGAATCCAATTACAGCAGTACTGACGACGAGGCTGCTGTGTGCGTCCCTGATGCTAGCGTGTGTACGCCTGAGGTTGAGCATGTCCTGTACGCTCTTTTCTATTCTCTCTGCATCCCCATCAATCTTTCTTACTCTTCGCATGTACTGCAGGATGGTTTCTTGGGACCCTTCGACTGGTGCCCAATCTTGTCGATGTGCTTCTACGCTGTCGGGCGAGCGGTCTTCGAGGAAACATCTCAATAAACGCTCCTGTTGCTCGAGAAAGTGCTGTATCATGGCAAGCTCACTGCGCACGTCGGAGATGACATGTATGAAGTATCTCTCTCGACGGTATTCAAGTCCACTGAAACTCGACATCCCTGCAGCGGGCTTTTCGGTGTACAGTCTCACTTCTTCCAGAAGCTTAACAACTCTCGTCTCGAAGAGATCGAGCGTAGGCGGATAGTTCACGCCAAGATCACGATAGGTCTTGCCAAATCTGTTGATCAAGCTGGTGATGATCAAACCGATGCGAATCTCCGCATATGCTGCTATATCCCGACGTTCGCGCCCGTCTTGGCCAATATACCGCGCGATTCCAGCTTCTTGACGCATACTGTAGGCGGATACGACGATGTTTCCGAGCCGATAGACCCAGAGCTGCGGTACCATAAGGATGAACGCTGTCACATCGGTCTTTTCGGCACCACTCTCTCGCCTATCATAGGAGCCAAAGTTATCTTCACTATGCGAGACTACCTGGTCTTGGTTGCGTATCGTCAAGGCTTTAGCAGAGAGCCCTGGATAGTAAGCCTCGTCTAAGGTGCGCTCCAGATGGTTGAAAGAGAGAAGAGATTCATGACGCTTCAAGTTTCTCTTGAGATCCTCGTGCTTTCTTCTCATCTTTTGTTGCTGTCTGATCTGTGTGAGTACCAAGTATGGAAACTGCAAGTATAAGCATCGAGACCCAAGGTGTTACTCTGGAACTAACCACGATCGTCGAAGCCTTTCCTTCCCATACATTGCGACCACTGAACAAGCCTTCGTAATCTAGTTGAACCCAGGCTCTCGATTGATATGACGGCTCCAAATACGTCAAAAGAAGGTCATTTGAATCACGCTTCAACGATGTGAAGTGCAAGTGAAAGTCTTCAGAAGCGCACTGTGTAAGGGTCTGCATGATGACCTTTGAGGCACGTTAGTCCATGAACGGGATAGAACAGTCTACGTACCGATATTAATAGAATCTGTGTAGGTCAGCTTGGTTGTCTGGCGAAAACAAATGATGCCCACCAACGTTGTTTCTGCTGACCTGGATCCAGGTCAGACGTGCCTCTGGTATGCCTTCGGTCTTCGTAAATGGAACGTCATATCTCCGTAGAGGACAGTCAGGGAACAGGTGCCAAGTACCATCGTGGGGATCGAGATAGGCCAGCATGTAATGCCAGTCACGGCTGTCGTGAGTTGTGGTATCGGGAAGTCCGCTCTCGTGAAGCCCCTTCATAAGAATATGAGCCTTGACTAACATTTCTGCCTCATTATTTCCACAATCGCTGTCTATCTCGTTGCTTTGACTTTGGGGATCTGCTCCAGAAGCTAACAAAAGCTCGACAGTCTCTGGTAGGCCCCACTTAACAGCCCTCGAGAGCAGATGGTCATCTTTATTTGACTTCGCGGCGTTAATCTCAGGTGTTAACCACTTAGTGACATCTGGAGCGTCTTGGAGGGTGCGAAGAATAATCGCAAGTATCGCAGATTTCATAGCGGCAAGCTTGACACCCTCGCCGAGGAAGCCTTGGGAATCGATTCTAGTTTCCAAGCGATTCCAATATGATGTAAATCCATGAGCATGATCGATTTTTCCCTTCAGCGTCTTTGCAGAGCATCTCTTGATGCCTCTCAGCAACTCATCATGCTTCTCCAGGCTTTTAAAAGTATGTTCCGTTACGTATCTTGAATCAAAATACGTAGACAACGTATTATCGAAACATGCCGCAATCAAAGTCTCTAACAGCCATATCAGTACAGAGCACTTACAACCTTGAATGTGTGGAGATAGGTAGCAAGCGCACCTCGTTCAAATCCGGCGCACCTTGGTTCTTCGGAAATTAGTCTGATGGGTTTCTGATAGTGTGCCATCATGTGTCCACGCAGGAGCGCTGGGTGTCTGCGAGAATTTGGATGGAACCTTGGAAGGCCTTCATCCGGGCGGTAGGCACTCTACTTCAACTCCTCCACAGATAAGCTCCCCAACAGTGCATGTCGCTACTGCGCATTTCAATCAGCTTCATGCAGGATGAGCGTATCATCAGCGGACATCAAACGTCATCATGCAGCTTCGATCAAAGTTGTTTCACAGCCTCGCGCGTGGGGTAAGGTGCTGTCATCTTCTTGCAGCTGCATAACCGCCGGCGGCCAAGCAGGATTGGAAGTCCCAGCAGCATAAGCAATCGCAGAACCTTTAAGTGGTATGGAGATTGAGCTGCTCCCTATAAGAGCATTCACCATGATTGATGCGAGTGGACCAGACAGGGGGGCAATGGATCTGCACAGAGCTGCACCACAATCGGTGCTACAGGAATGACGCGAGATGACGACGGCCATAAATACACGCGTGGCTTTAAGCACAGCTCCGATGTGACTTCCGTGCCCGTCTTCAGCTGACGTGGTCCCACATTACCCGCACACATGCGAACAATAAAGCCACAGTGGGGAGGATCAGACCCGACGTCGTCGCGCCGGGCATCGCCATCCTCTCCGCTGCCTCTCGCGCGCTACCACCAAAACAAATCACCGTCCCGTCGCGAACGGGGAATCTGGTGATTCTGATTGGATATTCAGTCACACCTAATATAAATAGCGGTCTTGTGCAGGACCTTCAGCGCCAGGATATACGATATTTGACAGCGGATTTGCTATAGGTTCGCAAAATAAGGGATATCCAGTAGATAGTGTTGTCCAGATTTATTAAGGAAACTAGACACGGGGGATACAGGAGGCTCACAGGTACGTTTAGGTTCCAGGCTAGACGTTCGTAGATTAGACCATCGGGCTCTACAAGAGTTCATAGCGCACTTGCAGAGCAGACGGAAAACACTCATCACGCACGAAAACCAAAAGTTCAGGCAGACGTCGCATACGACGGTCATTCTTTTTCATAGTGCCTTCATCGATCTACACCTATTTACTGCTGACACTAAGTCTACTCCGCTACATCTTCCGTCCTTCTTACTCTTAAACGTAGTGATACTTGATCGTGATGCGGGGAACGCACATAGCCTTGTACGACATGGGAGCAGTGAAGGGAGCAACGTAAACTGGAGATGTAGGCTGAGCGGGAAGAGCGGAGACACTGGAGGAAGCAGCAACGCCAGGGTAACCAGCAGCGCCAGAGTACGCGGCAGCACCAGAGGGAGCAGCAGCGCCAGAGGAAGCAGCAACGCCGGAAGCAGCAGCGCCGGAGGAAGCGGCAGAGCCAGAAGGAGCAGCAGCGCCAGAGGAAGAAGCAGCGCTCGAAGAAGCAGCAGCGCTGGAAGATGTGACAGCGCTCGAAGATGCAACAGCGGCGACGCGAACAGACGAGGCGACGGCAGAAGAAGAAGCGCTGGGCGTAGGTGTGGGAGCGGCACACAGAGGGGCGGCGGCATTGAGCTTTCCAACGGCCCAGTTCGAGGCGTCTTCGGTGTACTTCTCAAAGTAGCTCAGGTGCTTCTCGACGTCGTCGCCGTTGGCGCAGATCGGGTCTCCCTTAGAGCAGTAAGAGCGCAGGACGGGTGCGAAGCGGTTTAGGCGCGCAAGAGAGGTGGCGTCGCGACCGTTCTTCTGTAGATCAGAGCCGTCGAGAACGTTGTATGGCATGTTAGCCTCGTGCTTGACATCGCCCCAGAGGAGAGCAGCAGCGACTAAGTTACCACATTAGCACAGTCCAAGGTTCGAGTGTGTCATGTCAAGGATACTTACTAGCGTTACCAGGAGCCGCGGCAGGGTCGAGACCAGTGGTGATCTGCGAGCATCCACCCGGTCCAGCAAGGACATCTCCCATGATCCAGGCACCCTGAGAGAAGCCATTGAGGATGAGGTGCGTGCACGGGCACTTCTTGTTGAAAGCAGTGATCTGATCAAGACCGTTGCGGACTCCCTCGCCAATTTGCTTGCAGTAGTCGCCGCCGTACGGGAACACGACCTCAATGTAGTCGCAGGTCTTGCCCTCAGCCCTTAGCTTGGCGCACGTAGCGTCGGCGAAAGGGAATGTACGGTAGTCATGGTACGGCGCAGTATTACCGCGGGCCATGAAGATAACGGCATCGGCGCAGGGGGCGTCGAGCTTGGGGGGTGGGGAGTTTGGGTCTTGAGCGACGGCGACGGCGGCGGCAGCGCTGAGCGCGAAGACGGTGCGGATGATCGAAGACATTATTAAAGATTAAAGAGTGTGGTATTAATTGGTTTTTTAAAACGAGTGTAATGGTTGGATTGCGAGGTTGAAGGACCTGTGAGGAGAAGGAAAGTCTTCTTGGCTCCGGGGGAAACAGTTTAATAGGAGCGTTCATCTTGCATTTCTGCCGAACTGGGCGTCGTGTCGGCTCGAACGGGCGGAAAAGGGATACGAGTTGGATCCCTTTTTGGCTGAGCTATCTACCTCGGGTCGTGCGCTAGCAGGAGCGCGGACAAACGTCGTATTATCGAGATTGATGCTGACCATGAGGTTTTGGAGGATGGCCCAGAGGACGGACGTCCCCTTGATGGATACCTAGGTACCGTCAAACTCTGCCATCTTTGCGAAATGGGTCAACGGGACATCTGAGACGTTGCTGTTGATGTTTGCATTGAAGCTAACCTTTAGTTCATGGGATGAAGCAGGGTCCAAGAAATTTGCTAGCGTGCGTGTCAATGCTTGAGCGATCCTCCATATACGAACCCCTGAGCTTGTCTAAGATAAGAGTTCGTGCACGTCCCCTCCATCAACCCGAAATGTCTTAGCTCTTACCGGGACCCGTGGACTCCTCGAGGGCTGCCGTGCCTCATGCCAGACATTCGACAATCTAGATGCACTTTGCTTGTTGGATGCAGTCGAGTTTCACAACTCCACTTGTGCCAGTCTGGCGCTACGGCTATCGCAGCGACGATAAAGTCAAAACATTGTGTATTGCGAGTAACTACAAAACTTCATCCTAGTCGAGATGGGCAAAAAGAGCCTAGACATATCAAGAGCATACACTGAGCAGACACGTCGTGTTCTTCCTCGATGAATGGGTCTTCTGGCAGTGTGAGTGCGCTGTCAGGGACTTGGATGTTCTCCAGCCACAGAAGAGCCCCGGATCTGCCGTTGTGGCCCCACATGTGCACCTATGTCGAGTATCCTTCAATGAAATCCTACGTCCACTTCGGTAGGATTCAGTCTTTATGCAGACTTGATATGCCCTTACAACGGTCGGGAACTTTCTCATTAAGAACACGGGTTATCCGCTTACATGGGGGTCTTATGCCGCCTTTCTCCGGTATTTCCAGGTGGATTTTGTTCGGTTCGCCACGACAATACCAAGATTATGAACTTCCATCTTGGGACTGGTGTGGTTGGTAGTGCTTTGTTGATCCCCGAAGCTTTGACCCTGCCTTTGTCGGGAAACCTGGAGGATTTGGACGATTGCAAAAGGTTTTCGAGTGGGAATATCCAGCTCCTGCGCAAGATCAGTAATACTTGACTAGTGGATTGATAGTTCGGATGAGTTGATTCCGATGGATGAACACAATTACCAGATCGATGCAACCGAGGGACATGACGAGATCCTCGATGTGCCAGCAAATGGTTACGAGGAAGGCCAGGAGTATAAGTTCTACGTGCTGTGGTATCAAAGAGGTGTCGACAGCATTGCACATACAGCTGAGTGCGGGTGCATCTTCAGTCAACGCTGGGAAGATGACAAGCCAGAAGAGACCAGGATCACTCCAAGTTGATAGACAACATTTGGTAGTGACCTATTGTTCCGCGTTGTCGTGATGCAGCTCAGGTACGACTGCTATCACCTAGACGAGTTGTGGACGCTGTTTCTGGGCCATAACAATGCATATGGATTGACTGATTATGCATGATCAAGCTACGCCTACTCCGATAACACGTACTTCACTCCTTCAGTCAGGTTGTCATAGAACTGCTTCCTCGGCTCATCGAGTTTGGGCGAAGGCCAGGCGAAGAAGAAATGTGGATAGCCATCGTAGTAGTCGAGTTTGACAGGTACCCTTCATTCACGTCAGCAATAGTAAAGCAACATAACAGAAGACTTACTGCGCATCATCGAGCAAACGCTTCATAAGCATGCCGTCATCTTTCAATGTATCTTGGCCCGCAACAGCCAGGTAGACCTTCTTCAGGTGTTTGGTTCCTGGGTGAAGGAGCGGCGATCCGTATATATCTGTTGGTGGTGCACCGAAGGCAGCCCAAAAGTCTCTCATTGCCCCTGAAGTGTTGATGGTGTGCTGATCATGCTCCTCCATTGATGTATAACCAGCCCGGAGTGCCTCGGGAACACCATCTGGATGGACGGTCGCAGGTATAATTCCAACAACACCAACAAGTTCGCCCGACTTCTCGTCCTGGCCTCGCAGCGCAGTTGCGAAAGCCAGTTGACCTCCCGCGGAGACTCCTGCGGTGAGGTACCTGCCCTCAGCGGTGTTGAGTCGCTTCGAATTTGCTAACGCCCACACCAAGGCCTTGTAGCACTCGTCCAGCAGCCCAGGATGTTTGTTCTCCGGCGCAAGGCCATATTCAACAGATACAACCACTATGCCACCGGCTTTGGAAATTGCTCTGCTGAATGGGTCGTCGCCATTGACATCTCCCATAGCCCAGCCACCACCATGATAGTACATGCACACTGGCTTACCACCGGTATACCCGTCAGGTGTATATATGCGCACTTTGGTCCCGTCGTCGGTGACTGTGTCCTCGGTCTTCACGGAAGGGTCGGGCGCGGGGAAGGTGTATTTCGAAGCCATGAGGCCACCGTATCGCATGAATTGCTCAGTCATATTCGAAACCGGCGGCTTCAGGAGCATGCGCTCGCCGAACTCTTCTTCGAACTACGCGACCCATTAGAACAAGCTGATGCATGTAAATCCACTCGACATACCTCCAACCATGGTTTCGCGAATCCCTCGTTAGCCATGTTGCCCTAGATTGATGTGTAAATAGTGAAGCAACTGCCCCATCTCGGAAGCCATGCTGTATAAAGCCCGACGCCTCCAACAACGGTTGGCGTCATGTCGTGTTGCTCATCTCGACTCACGTCTACGCGGAAAGACGTCAGGGGTCCAAGCTCCCCATTCGTCGCCTTTGCCTTCCCCACGCGTAAAGACATCCGGCTCCCCCGCCAAAACAACATCGCCTCGGCTGGCCTGCATATCGCGACGCGTCGGCATCGACCCTGCGGCGAGTCATGTCTGCTATATGCACGCGTAGACATTTGATCTCGAAAGTTGATCATCTTTACTTACCTCCATAGCATTACTCACGATCCGGCCTGCACCATGGCTTTGAACATCGACATCAACAGCAGCCCAGCGTTCTCGCGCATACCGCCATGGGTCAAAGCGAAACTTCGTCCGATCGCAATTGAGAAGATCCAGCAGGTATACGATTGGGTCGAGACCGAGTGCATACCAGCTGAGCGCATCTACAAAGCCCAACTCAAGGAGAGCAAGACGCGATGGGAGACACCAGCCATCATCCACGATCTACGAAAGAAGGCAAAGGCGCAAGGATTATGGAATCTGTTCCTACCAAATCACTTTGTCGAGAGTCCAGGCCTCACCAACCTGGAGTACTCGTGTTGCGCTGAGATTATGGGGAGAGTGTACTGGGCAGCGCAGGTAAACTTCTCAAGATCCAATACACCCTAAACATCTTTTAACACCTCTCCAGACGATGAACTGCCATGCTCCCGAAACAGGCAACATCGAGCTCCTCGCCAAATACTGCACACCGGAGCAGAAGAAGAAATGGCTCCACCCCCTCATGAACGGCGACATGTCCTCCGCATACAGCATGACCGAGCCCGACGTCGCCTCCTCGGACGCAACCCAAGTCGGCATAAAGATGGAAATCACCGACAAAGAAGTCATCATAAACGGACGCAAGCTATACGGCAACTGCCAGTACAACCCAGAGATGCAGCTCTTCATCCTGATGGGCTGTTCAGATCCCACGAACGCGAACGCCTGGAATAGACATACGACGCTGGTGGTACCGGCGAACAGTCCCGGGCTGAAGCAAGTGAGGAACCTGACGATCATGGGCTATGATTGGGCACCCGAGGGACATGGCGAATACATCTACGAGAACGTGCGTGTGCCGCGCGAGAACATCATCCTCGGTCCTGGTCGCGCGTTCGAGATAGCGCAAGGGCGATTAGGGCCAGGCCGCATACACCACTGCATGCGCTTGATCGGCCAGGCAGAACGTGCTTTCGAACTCGCGCTCGTCCGCTGCATGGAGCCGCGCAAGAAGCCACGAGGCAAGTTCATCGGCGAGTTCGACAGCAACATCGAACGCATAGCAGATATGCGCATGACTATCGATGCTATGCGACTTGTTGTGCTCAACGCAGCCGATACCATGGATCTCCAGGGCAACAAGGCAGGCAAATACGCCATTGCGCAGAGCAAGATCATGGTGCCGAATGCGCTTCTCAAAGTCATCGATGAGGCTATGCAGATATATGGCGGCCAGGGCTTGACGCAACACACGCCGTTGCCGGAGTTGTGGACGTATGCTCGTTTTGTGAGGGTGGCTGATGGTCCGGATTCAGCTCATCGACATCAAGTCGGGAGAGATCAGATGAAGACTGCGCAAGGGTTTAGGAAGAGAGCGGAGGGGTACACGGAGAGGTATAGGGAGCTGTGTAAGAAATGGGGGTTGGAGCCAGAAGAGTTCTGGGGTATTCTGTAGTAGCTAGATGTGCGAATTGTATGTGCAAGGGAAAGCAACGATGCCAACATCTTTACATGTTTCGGCTTGTGCAAGCATGATCTTTAAGTATCGTGTTTCGTGAAAACCTGGAGGAATGCCATCGCAGAGCACATAGAGGTTCATTAATCGCGTATCTACGTAATCATCTAGCAAAAGTAATCGAAACGGGTATCATAACCAAGACCCTAACTCCTAGCCAACGTCTCTCATATCTACATAAGCCAATCCGTCAATCATACTGCAATGGGTGGCGATCCAAAGCTCATGTTATCGTCGTCGTCATCGAAGAATGAAGCTACTTCCTGCGTCGACATGAAAAAGTCTTCAAAAGACGCGTTTGGTCCCGAAACCACGGCAGAGGACTTTGTGTGGGTTATAGGTACGCATTGCCTCTTTACTGGTGGTACTGGGTTCTTCGAAGGTATCGGCGAAGCTTTCCTCTTTGCATTAGGGCCAGACATGGACATCGGCAGCTGCGAAGCTCTGAGCTTAGCAAGTTCAGCCTCGAGCCCCGATGCAAAGGGACCTGGGTTGACACATTTGCCAGCTACCTTCTTGGACGATGATAATGGTCTGCTCGAGTTCGCAGTCGCAGAAGGACGTGATGAGAACTCGGTGGGTGTTGGGAGGCTGTTCATCCGCATGTGAGGCATCAATGGGTTCGCCAACTGCGGGGCGAGAGGGAAAGACGTCGGCTGTGGTGAGTGTCCCTGGAGCGGTGCAGAAACTATGCCGGGCAGATCATGCTGTAGAGTAGGAGCAGATTCGCATTTCGTTTCCTTAGCTTCCGGCTCTTCATCGAGATCGTCTAGAGAAAAGTCGAAGTCTTGGGTCGAAATGGGGGGAAGCGTATCAGTAGTCGGAGGCGACACGATCGCTGGGGGTTTGACTGGGTCTTCTACCGTAGGGGCTATTTCTGAAGCCAGCTCTCGCGAGATCTGCGTGCTACTTTCGAGAAAGTCATCCCAACAGTCAGTGGGTGGTAGTGGTATGTACTGGCTTTGCTTCGCGACTGATGTAGGTATGATTGTGACGGAAGAGCTTGATTTTGATGCTGGGAGTCCAGGAAGTTTAAAGTCTGGATTCTTATTTGCAGGAGGCTTTGCTTTGACAACAGGAAGGATCGGTTTCTTGAATGAAACGGCAGGCGGCACACGACCAGGTATAGAGGGCAGCTTAAACCCTGTTTGTGATGTGTCTCGTGGCGTGCTGGATGGTGTATAGTCTACGGCTACACGGATGGGAAACTGCGTCCGCTGAAAGGGATGCTGGTCCAGATTCTTGTACTTTGCAATAAACGGAACCCGAGTCAGGAAAGTCTTAGTTCCCTGCAGCTGCCCATCCAGAACCAAGCACTCCAGTCGATCGTTCTCGCACCTGAGGACTCGCAAGTGCTGGCTCTTGGACAGTTGACTGCTTGTGTTAAGGTCCCGGAGCAGCATTACAACGCAGCCAACTTTGATTCGCAGTCGATGCGGAGGTAGGCCCACCGGATTCAGCTTATGCAACAGCCCAAGTGACGGGTCCCAGTCTGGCGTCTTGAGCGAAAGATCTTTTGATAGCACTTCGAGCAGAGGCTCAGGTAATTTATCCAAGACAGCCTCGATAGCCTTATTGATGGGGCCGTGGGTCCGGGCGAACTCGCGGTCGTCTTTGACAGCAACTGGTCTCGGGGAAGGGGTCGGCGCGGCGGGTGGGGCAGGTTCGATCGGAGCGACAGGCGCAGGAGGTGGCAGCACGACAGCTTGTGGCTCCTCTACTGGATCCGACATGACCATATTGTGTGCTTCGAGTAGCGTATCGTCGTCGAGATCGTCGTCAGGCCATTGTTCTCCAAACGACACATTCGCGCTGGGCAGCTCGAGGCCCATGTCTTCGTCGTCGTCGTCGTCCCATGGCTCCTTCTCAATGTCTTCAACCATCTCCTCCATCTTTTTGGTAAGCTCCAAGTCCTTCTTGCGCTTCTCCTCGTCCTTCTTCTTCTTCAGCCCCAGGAATGCCTCCATGCCATTCTTCAACTGCGCCTGTGTGTGGCTGTATCCAACCAGCTGTGTCGCAAGGCCAACGCCAATCTGCTGCCTCGCCCTCGCCTCCTTGGCCTCCCTCTCCTCGCGCTTCTTCTTGGCTGCTTTGCGGCGTTCTTCGGCTTCGCGTGCGCGGGAGGCGCGTTGTTCTAGTTCAGCGTCGCGTTCGAGCTGCTTCTGCTGGCGCTCGTTGAGGCGAGGGCCATGTTTCTTGTGTTGCTTCTTGAGTTCGGTCGATGTTTGCGCGATTCGGTAAGGTGTGGGGGGCATGGCGGACGGCGCATCGCGAGGAGGGGTGCGGGTGGATGCAGGGCCTGAACCGTGGTGGCGAAGGATGCAAACCGTGGAACCGCGCTAGAACACGCAAACACGTGCCCAGATGACGTAGAACAACACGCCATCCGTGCATCACGATCCGCCTCGCAAGACTTGTACCACTGCTCACCACCATTAGCGCCCGTTTGCTTCCTTGCAACGGTACTCGCGACGGCTTCTAGCAGTAATGGCTCCGTCTTGGCAAGCATGCTGAAGGTGGTTGACGGCGACCGATCGAGGCCATCGTGCCTTCCTGGCATCTTGTCGTGTTGCCACACAATGGTCGCATCCTACATGAGCTGGACTTGCAATTCTCGCAGCATGCGACCAAGCTCAGGTGCAACGTACAAGGTCTTCGCATCGTAGAGCAGACATGACTCGGTTGTGTTTCCCTCCACGAGCAGGAAAACCGCAACCGATGCAGAGCGTAGCCCCGCCCAAGAACCGCCTCTACAGCATCAGCCTTCCACACTTCCCCTGACGGTGCATATGCAGGGCACAGGTCATCGCCGATAGTTCTTGAATCGTAACATTGGGCTAATAGCAACAGTCGCAGCAACATTGTTCACGAGCAAGGTTCCGCGGACCTGACATTCGATAGCTGGATACCCAGGAAGGGCTCGCAATTCATACACTGCACCCAAGAACATGGCTTTTACACTGAAAGGAGTGGCATACATTACCGGTGCTGGGTCTGGTATGCATCATCAGACTGTGTAGCAGTTACAAGCAATGAGCTAACATGTCGTTAGGCATTGGCCAATACACTGCATACGCTCTTGCGAAACAGGGTGTACGCTCATTCGCCCTGCTGGATCGCAATCCCCTCATCAAAACCGTTAGCGAACTCCGTAAACTCTCATCCGACTGTTCTATCAAGACATTCGAGATCGATGTCACCAACGAGAAAGCTGTCGATGACAGTATAGAGAAGACGGTCAAGGAGTTCGGACGACTAGACTATGCTGTGAACAATGCCGGCATCGGTGGCATGATCAAAACGACAGATCAGATCCCGAAAGACGACTTCGAGAAGGTCATGTCTATCAACACCATCGCTGTTTGGCAATGCCAACGTGCACAGATTCGACAGATGCTCAAACAGGAAAAGCTCTCGGACTCATATCGGTCATATCGAGGTTCTATCGTTAACGTCGCATCCATGTATGGTCTGGTAGCACCGCCGCTCAACGTTCCCGCCACAGCATACGCTACCTCAAAGCACGCTGTTATTGGCCTTACAAAGTCAGATGCGCTCGCTTTCGCGCACAAGGGTATCCGGATCAACGCAATTTCGCCGGGATATGTAATGACGCCTTTGGTACAAGAGCACATGGGTCAGGGTGAAATGATGGAAACTGAAAGGAAAAAGGTCCCTGTTCACCGCTATTCGGAGATGGAGGAAATCGGCGACTGTATTGCCTTCTTGCACTCAGACGCGGCGAGCTACATGATCGGCGCCACATTAGTCGCGGACGGAGGATACACAATTGTCTAAACCTTTGTACTAGCCCAGCGCCTTGATAATTCGACATTTCCTTTACACGCTTGCTACGATACATAGTCAATTCGTCAAACATAGGCAATTATGTTGATTACATCGGTCGCATCTCGGTAGAGGTTCTCCACCCCATCGCTCCACCCCGATCCCCGCAAATTGGGAGACGCAACCTCCGTATCCGAAAAAGGATCTCGACTGCCCCAAGCATTTGTACGATTGGTTAATCGACCTTCCATCGGCTCTATCACGATTACGCGACCTCGAAGCCCCAGATTTTACGTCTGTGCAACGTTCGGAAATGCTTTGCCAGACGGAAAGTCATGAATAGCCTCTTCAACAGTTTACCCACATCACGAATCGTCACCATATCTCGAGACCCCAACCCTGCTCCAACTCACTTAGCGTGACCCCAGATCTCAGCGTACACTAAATTGACTCGCTACGTGGAGTCATTTGGCCAGCACCTGACTCTCCATGACTGAGCAGTCGCGGCGCAAACATGCCGCAAACAAAGTTTAAGAACGGTGAAGGCCTCGGAGTGGTCGCAGCGTTGCCTTAAGATCCAGCTCCAACTTTGTCTTGCGACTTGCCTTCCTCATTAGTTATTTACCCTTCACAATGGCAGACGGATTTATCGTCCCATCAACGGCTGCGCCAGAGACTGATGCTCAGCACCGGTTGCGTGGGCCCATCCATGCGCAACGCCATGTACGCATCGTGTGTATTGGCGCAGGTGCTTCAGGACTTCTGATGGCATACAAACTGCAAAAGCACTTCACAAATTACAGCCTTCAAGTTTACGAGAAGAATTCCGAAGTTTCGGGCACATGGTTCGAGAACAGATATCCGGGGTAGGTGAAGATCATATTGATTGCTGCGGGGCTTGATGCACCTTTCGCCCCGCGATCTACCGAAGCGACTGCAACGAAGCGGCGCAGTCGACCAACCTCGCTAACATCCGCTTCTAGATGCGCATGCGATGTTCCCTCCCACAACTACACGTGGTCATTCGAGCCCAAATTAGACTGGTCCGCTGTATACGCCAGCTCCAAAGAGATCTTCGCCTATTTCAACGATTTCGCCCGCAAGTACGGTCTACGCAAATACATCAAGACGCAACACCAAGTCGCTGGCGCAATTTGGAACAAGCAAAGGGGCGGATATGATGTGCAGGTCAAAGACCTGGAGAGTGGCCAGACCGTCAACGATCATTGCGACATCTTGATCAATGCAGGCGGCATCTTGAACAACTGGCAATGGCCTGCCATTCCAGGTTTGGACAAATACAAGGGCACATTACTACACACTGCGAATTGGGACGACAACGTCGATCTTAAAGGTCGCCATGTGGGCTTGATTGGGAATGGGTAAGTGTATTATGATTGACCTTTGATTCCGCGACTGACCACTTCAGTTCCTCTGGCATCCAAGTTCTCCCTACCATCCAACCGCACGTCAAGAAAGTTACAACCTTCATCCGCGAACCAACATGGGTCTCACCAGTCCAAGGCCTCGAACAACACGTCTTTACCGATAGCGAAAAGCTCGAATTCGCAACCAAGCCCGGCGCATTGGTTGAATACCGAAAGAACATTGAACGCGGCCTCAACGGCCAATTCGGCATCTTTCTCAAGAACACAAACGTCAACTCCGAGACAGAAGCCTACTTCCGCCAGCAGATGACCGAAAAGCTTAACAACGAATACCTACAAGAGCGCTTGATCCCGAACTGGCATGTTGGGTGCCGAAGACTGACACCAGGTGTTGGCTATCTCGAAGCACTGGGAAAACCCAATGTACAAACTGTCTACGGCGAGATCAACTCCATCACCGAACGCGGCTGCCTATGCGACGACGGCAACGAATACCCCATCGACGTGCTCATCTGCGCCACCGGGTTCAACACATCCTTCAAGCCGCGTTTCCCTGTGATAAACTCCTCCGGTGCCAACTTACAAGATGCCTGGGCTAAAGAACCACGCTCCTACTTTGGCCTCGCCGCCGCCGATTTCCCGAACTACCTCATCTTCCTTGGGCCCAATTGCCCCATTGGTAACGGTCCAGTGCTCAGTGCTATCGAAGCGCAGGCAGACTACATGTGCAAGCTCATCGATCGCTTCCAAACACACAACATCTCGACATTTGCTCCGAGAGCTGAGGCCATCGATGACTTCGTCGCCTTCAAGGACGAATACATGAAGCGTACGGTATGGAACGACGGATGTCGCTCATGGTACAAATCGCTCGGCGCTGACGGCCCTGTGACGGCGCTCTGGCCTGGCTCTACTCTACACTACATCGAGGCGCTCATGGAGCTGAGGCTAGAGGACTGGGATGTCAAATACACTGGCAACAGGTTCTCATGGCTAGGCAATGGATACTCGCAAACGGAGATTGATCCTACGGCCGACTGGGCTTTCTATGTTAGGGATAGAGATGACGATGAGCCAATATCGAGGTTGAGGAAGTTGCAGCTGATCAACAAAAGTGGGACGGTTGAGCCGAGTGAAGGGGTGAACTTTGCAGGCGGAAGGGCCAAGACGGATGCGGTGGTAGAGTCGAAGCTTTAGCGATTCTGTTGTTTCTGTATTTGTGGTGCACAGGAAGGCGTTTTCTATCAAGGTCAGGGGATTTCCAAGGTTGTATGCGTTATGGTACATCATCAGGCGATCAATTCATCTTCAAAATTGCAAAACATCAAGCGTGCCTACTCAATGTTCTCCACCGTTCCATCACGTACCAGAGCCAATGTCGGAGAAGTCTAGCCTGCCTCGGCCGAGCTCCGGAGAGGCCGCGCTGCATCCAATGTATACGGCCCTTGGATGCCATGCGAACACATGCGCACTCCGCGCAAGCAATGAAACGCGATAAACGCGAAAATAGCAAACATGTAACTGCCTTTCGCACGAACGATGAGTGAACCGGTTCAAAATAGACGAGGCGACAGCGACACCCACGCGAGCTGACTTAAGATTTGCGCTAGGGCAGCACGGCTCCCCAACCCGCGGCGCCCGTCGATTCTGCGAACCCACCAGCGAAACACTCCGACACTGCTCGCGCCCAGCACCCAATTACTGCACGGAGAAACAGCGACCGAGCCCTTGGAGATCCGGAGAGTGGGAGTTCGTGTTCTTATCTGCGTGTAAGCATTATACATGATCGACAGCGTCAATGAGCGTTGCAGGCGCCTTGCGCAATAGCGTTTCCAGCTGAGGAACGACGTCGTTTGCGAAAGCGAGCAGCGCGGACACAGACGTCACAGGTAGACAAGCAGTGTGCAAACAGTTCTGTTTGACACTACGCGACTCGAAAGATGTTTCTAAACTGTCAGATCAGCTATTTCCAGCTCTCGCTCTACCACTCGTCCCTTCAAACGTGCCAGACACAGAGCATCTGCGTCACAGCTCCACGATTCAACCCTGTGGACATCGCTCGGCTAACGAGGATCGTCCTACCTCACCATCCCCAACCCAGCGCGCCAACGCACAGACATTGCCTATCCCGGCGCTCGGAAACGGAGACGACGCGTTTCGGTAGCTACTATTTCGATATTGGGCGGACGGATGATCGTCGGCGTAGTACAGGCCATGCGTGGGTAAGCTGTACAACTGTATGGATGTTGGGGTAGAGTGAGGGACGCCATGCCGTGTCAGGGGTGTAAGACATGCATCTTGACTGCGTCTTGACGTTTTGGACAACGGGTTAGGGTCATGGAGAGTAGAGTAGGGGTCTCCAGACGCGAGTAAGACCGGTAGGGAATGAGGAAGCGGGCGAGATGTATATATTCTGCTGCCTTTCACCGTGGAGATAGATCATCATCCAGCGAGCTTCTTCTTCTCTCATCAACTCAACACAGCCTTACCAACTACTTCTCTTCACTATTACTGCCGGCCAGTTCCTTTAATCCTCTACCAAATTCTCAAGCAACAACAAAATCGTCAAGATGCCTACTTCCCAGATCTCCACTCCCCTCAACGGTGTCGACGCCGCCGTCGTCATTGCCGCTCTCCACAACCACGACCTCATGATCAAGACCCTCTGCCCAGCACTCGTCAGCTACGCTTTCGAATCCGGTGACAAGACTACTTGCGCTACCTACACCGTCACCGACAAGAAGCCCATTGGCCAGGTACGACTAGCCCTCTCTCTCCGTTTTCCTTCTTCCTTAACATGACACTGACCCACATCAGACAACCTACAAGCTCACCCTCACCAACGTCTCCGAGGGCGTCGACTCCCTCGTCAACGCCAAACCCCCCGTTGGTGTCCTCACCATCAGCGGCAAGTGGCGTGTGACCGGCGGCAAGCTCAGCGAGGAGATTGACATTGACGCCAACTTCATGATGAAGAAGGTGGCTAAGAACAATGTTGAGAAGACGCACCCGGAGCAGCACATGAAGCTCTTGGAAGCTGCTCAGGCTTAGACGAGTGGTGTAGTTAGATAATGGCGATGGATGAGGAAGGGATGCATTGGATGGAGCAATTGTTTTGTATTTGGATTTTGTGTGAGCATTTTATTTGCGACGGGTGGGATGAGGGTGTACGCATAGCTTGGTGTTCATGTTTGCAATGAAGCATTTTATTGTTATCTATACTACGACTACTGCAAACGTGATGAATACAGACTATGTGCTTTGAAAAGATATGTTTGTAGAGCTCGACTGGATATTCTAGAGCTAAAGATATTATCTACTAGTTTTCTAGAGGCTTTCTAGCTAATATCTGCTAAGGCACAGCCCATCACACAATGCCCATAATCACACTGGTCAGGCCAGATGCTGCAACCACCACACAAGTTCCAGACCGAATTACAGAGCTCGTGATTGTGAGGGCGCCCACCGCGACAGTGAAAGGTAGCCACAGAACACCAACTTTGCATGCTCCCTTTCACGTTCGCCCAATTGTATCCAGGCGTCGCTGTGGCAACAGCTTGGACTTGCACAGTTTGAGTGGCAGTCTGCGTTACGTGTTCCATGATCTGCACCACCTGTGTGGTCTGCACAACCTGCGTAGTCTGCACAACCTGAGTGACAGTCGTTTGCACGTACTGAGGGATCTGGACATACTTTGCCACAGTCTGCGTGGTAGTGGTTGCAAAGTACTGAGGGACCTGGACATACGAAGGTACCGTCTGTATCTGCGTAATCACTGCAGTCGCGTGTCGTGTAAACGTCGTGTACGTGGGAATGACCTGGTACGAGGTGCACGAGCCCAGGGTCGGAGTAGCCAAGTTTCGATTCGGCGTCTGGGTTGGAGCAGGCGAAAGTGTAGTCGTAATAGTCACCGTGGCTTGAGCACAGTGTGATTCGCCGTTGCCGCCGTGAGTTGATCCGGGAGCAGTATGGTGGCCGCTACTGTGGCCGCTACCATGACCTCCATGGTGGAATAGAGCGTCGAAAGGGTTCGGAAGACTATGAAGGGGGTTTGGGATATGGTCCAGAATATTTCTGGCGGCACCAGTAGCATCCTTGATCAGTCTGTTTGCCGTGCCCGGAATGATGGAGTCGACACCTTGCATAGCTGACTCAACCGACTGGGACACTGTATCCAAAGCAGGGGAAACGCGGTTCGCGCCTTCTTTGATCTTCCCGCCTAGAGTTTTGGCAAACTCCATGGTATTCCTGTAATGGTTGGTGAACTTAGCCATCATTCCTATGGGATCGGCAGCAGGGTCGAACGGCAACAGCGCAATGCCGTCTACACCTGCGACTGGTAGATTGGCGAGCGTGTTGTGGCTTAGTTGAACGAGGTTGCTGATTGCTGGCTTGTTCAATAGTTTGGCTCCTACAGCTTCGGCCAGCTCTGCGGTGTTGGTTGCGAGTTCGCGATTGAGGTATTCGAAAGCTGTGGCCAGACTGCCGGTACTGTCGACCAAGCGAATCGTCTCTTCCATTTGACTTGCAAACTGTACTGCCCGCGCGGTCTCGACCCCCATGTCTTCTAGTTGGCTCACCAAAACTTCTTTGAGACCGCGATTCAGTGAGTTAGCGACCCGACCCGCAACTCCAGCTTCAGCCTCCTTTATGACGTCTTCAACATCGGGGAGAAATTTGTCGCAGATACTCTTAGCCAGAGCAGTTCCAAGACTGTTGGTAACGACGCTACCAATAAACGCACCAGGAACAATGCCTTGCTCCATCTCTGGAGCCGATGTGCCATTTCCATCGGTGCCGTTACCTTGTGGGTAAAGTGTTTTGCCGGCCTCTTGACCAACAACGGCGCCAGCCATGCCCCCTGCTCCATTTATGATAGCGTTGCAAAGACCCCCAGTGACGCCGTTGTCTGCGATGCCGGTCGCAGCAGGAATCAGCAGGGAGCTGATGAAGGCAGCGGCGACAAGGCCATTCTCCTTGTCGGTACGATCTTCGCGAGAAGAAACCGTGAGGTTTGAAGATGGCGCGGCCTCGGCAAGAAGACTGTGGGAGGTAATCCAGATCGCGGGTAGGTTACCTAAAGACCCGTCGAGGAGGGCGTTGAAGTCGATTTGGAGATCTGGCTCGATGGGTTGTCGTGCCGTTAAGTGGAAAGCCGGTGCTATGGGTACACCTGCGGTTAAGCCGGTGAGACAGAACGTTGCCCATGCAGCGCGGTAAATGCTCTGGATCAGATGCATTTTGGAAAACCGAAGGTCTCTGTCGAATTGGGTCCGTTATTGTCTGTAAGTCAGATTCGGTCTTTACTGGTGATGTTAAAAGTGTATCGAAATCTGAATGTAGACACAAGCTTGGAATAGAAAACGCTTGAGGGAATTGCATATGCTTTTATAATAAGTACAGTCCAAGCACAGTGGAGCTATGCAATTCGTGTGCCAAATCTCGCAATGCTGTACCGTAGTTGCCATGTCCTAGTCATCGCTCCCGCCCTTAATGAACTAATGAACCTTTTTCATGATTACCATAGTTCGGTGATGACGCAGATCGCATGAGGAATCGCCATGAAGTTGGAGTGGTCGTGAACGAGGACGGTAGTGGTGGATCTCGACACGAAACCATGGTTGAGGCTAGCGAATGCCAAAGTCGCGAGCCTACCCCCGCTTGCACCAATGAACATGCTCTTCACACGACCCTGAACTATGGTCATTGAAATGCTCGGTTCAGTCTCACTGTTGTTAGAGCCTTCATCATCTTCTTGTAATACTTGAGTCATGCTGAATTCAGGTTGACTACGGGTTGCGAGGCTCTCCCACAGTCGAAGATAAATCCACCCTAATCATCGTTGAACCTGCCAGGTAGTCGCCACATCCAGTCGCAGTCACCCTGCCCTGAATATTGAAGTATAAAGTCAGTGTATATCTTCACACGCAGTTCGCATAGAGACACTCACAGCCGGTGTACCAGTCGAGAACCTCTGTGTAGTCACTTGTCGCTCGGCACTCTGCCAAAGATATGGGAAGGGATTCGCTGCGCGTGCTTTCATCATCACGAATCTTGCGTGTTCGGCGGAAGCAACGCGCGGGCGGCATCTCTTTTCCGCGATTTCTGACCTGTAATTCTTTGCTGTTCGTGACCTGGTTTTCCATGCCCAGTACGAGCGTGTCCAGGGATGGACAGCTAGATTGGTTTTCTAGATGCGCAAAGAAATCTTTTGCAAATAGATGAGCTTGGCGCTCGATGTCTCCATAAACATCGTCACTCTCCTCTCCGAAATTGCAGCAGTCGTGACCCCACCTTTCCCGAAGTTGAAGGGTGCGTAGCTTGGTCAATTTGCAGATGGGTGACTGTATATATGTTAGAGATGGAACGTGAAATCAGATACTGTACAGTCTTACCAAGTCTGGATCGAACCCGCCTTTGTAATTCAACATTATACCTGAGCTAAGATTGAACGCGAGTTGTTCCAAGTTTGGACATGCTAGAGATATCTCTTCCCAAAATGGTGGTTCGCTGTCATCTAAGCGCCCTCTAGTGTCCCACATGTGTATCGAGAGAACAACAAGCTGCTGTCCAACAATCGCCAGAATTTGCTTGAAGGACTCCAACGTGAAATCTATCCACCCCCTATCACTCCACTGCAAACACAGACTTTTCAATTCAGGACAGCGGCTAATCAACTCTTCGACGGCGTCATCGTCCTCTTCGTAGGGAGTATCATCATCCGGGTCTTCCACCTCGTCGTCGTCGACTAGCTCCAGTCCTAGATGTTTCAACGATAAGTCCTGGTCGCCAAGCTCATGTACCAAATTGGAGATGAACCTTTGGCTGCAGGAACATGCCCAAAGAGTCAAATGTGTGAGCTGAGGAAACGATATAATCTTGCTGAGTCCGTATGTATCGATGCCGAGAGGGATTCCGGATATTGAAAGTTGGCGAAGCTTCTCTAGGCGCCCATACGATTCGTCTAGAGACGAAAAGGTTTCGGCGAGTCTTCGGCTAAGATCGTGTGAATACCTATCAAACTTGGTTCCAAGGTACAGTCTCTCCAGATCCTTATACTTGCCGATGTCCTCCAGGGAGTCCAGAAAGTTCTCTTCCTCCAATTCCGACCAGGTTTCTTCTGGATGGGGGAGCCAGAGGTCCGCAGTTCGCACACAGTCGAGGTATTGTAATTGAAATAGGTCCTCGAGTCTTAGGTGTACGTGTGTTAATGTGCCCATTTGTTTAAGGAAAAATTCGCGTGCTATGTTCGACGGCAACGGTAGGGTCGAGAGGAACCTATCACAATTCAGTAAAGTTCTGACATGACAGTCCGCGAGGTTATGACGAGAGCATGCGACAGGCTGGCATGTGCAGCATTCCGAAGATCGAGGACGCACCGAAAAGATTGTAGGCAGTCCGGAGGGAAATAGTCTAGTATCGCTTCTATCGCGCTACTTTGAGCAGATGTCAACCTGTCTTCACGGTCGAAGCGTCGATGCGGCTTGGTCTGGAACTCGGGAGCTTCTGCCGGGGGAAGGCTGTCCATCAACGTCAAGCTCCTTGTAGCGTCAAGATGCGCTTGGGCACCTTCGGCCATGCAGTTCTCGAACCGTGCGACTTCCGATGGATCGAGTACGTTGATGGTGACCTTCCGATACAGTCGAGGCCTGGCGAGGTCGCATAGCGCTTTCGACGTCAGACATAGGGCCTGGAGGTGCGAAGGCAAGTGGATCTGCTGGACTTAGCACATCGGCCGATGGGAGGTGTCTTAGGGTCTCCGCGCATACATAATCCAATATCAGAAGATGTACATCTGCCGGCAGCACCGGGAGGGTCGACATGGTCGCGTGCATTTGTTGAGCAGGTCGAGCGGAGGAACGACGCGTGGGCGCGTCCAACGCCGCGGGCGGGGCGGCGCGTGCTAGACTCTTGGCACTCAGGTACCCCCTGAGAACGGCTTGTAGGTTGCCGGCTTACCCAGGTACTTCCGCCCGAACCACAACATCCACCTTTTCACATACCGCCCATTACATTTATTATGCCGTCGCATTTGATGCACTCCCAGATTTCGTACAAGACATTGCAGCTTGATTCTTAGGAGCTAAGCTATGTACAATATTGCTCCGTGTTGAGAGTCATCAGGATCAGCCACGCATGTGACACGGCCCACGACACTACGCTGTCTTTTCTACCCAGGGCAATTTACTCCTCGGAGAGAACGTCCTTCTTCTCCTTCGGGGGCCTCATTCCACAGTACAAGCAAGTATCGGGGTATCCTGTCCATGGGCTTCCCTTGACCGGTACACCACCATCTGCCGTCCACATATTTACGGGTTGAGGATTCTGTCTCGCGCGGGGATTGACGCCGACATCGATGGTAGCGTAGAGCCCATCTTCGATAGTCTTGCCAATGAGCGAAATCTTCATCACTGGGTCGTCGCCACCCTGCTTCGCCATGTTGAAGAGCGCATCAACTGCGTTGGTGGTGATGGCTTGCTTGTTCGTGTTGTAAGGAGAAGTCTTCTCAACTTGGCCTAGGAAGTTCTGCTCGATATAAAACTGACCGACGTGCGAGATCGTGCCACCTTGAATGGTATTGTTGGGAAGGAGTTTAGCACCATGGTGGATGATGGCTAGGGTTGTCAGTAAGGCGTTGGTAAAAGACAGGAGTGAAGCGTACTGTGGAGATGGTTCGTGCGGCCGACGTAGTGTCCTGGGATAACGGTAATGAAGGTAGCGGTACCATTGGCGCTGGTGGGTTGCACGCCGCGAAGAGCATTGGTCGCAATAGCGGTAGCAGAGCCGTCGCCATTGCCCTTCGCCTGAACACCCGTGTAGACACCAGTGGCGTTACTTCCCCACATCTCAACGTAGGCATCGGTGACAGGCTTGCAAGATGAAGTGTCGATAATGTTGACGTCCAAGTGGGTGATGGCACCCTTCTCTCCGGTCAAAAGGTCCTGGCGAACGAGCTCACCGGTGACCCCTATCAGTTTGTAAGCCAACCTGTCTCAAGAGATGCAACCTTCTCCACTTACAGTATGGACCCTCAGTGGATTCAGGGTCAAGCGTGCATGCTGCCTCGGCACCGTAGCTTTCCTCGACTTCAGCGACGTCACGACGGACGAGCTCGTGTTCCTTCGCGAAACCAGCTGCAACCCGAAGCTCGTGGAGCCTTGCCTCACGCCTCTGATGCTGCTCCCGGACCCACCCGGTCTCGACGAGATCCCTTTTACACGCCTGAACACTTCGACGGTTGGGATGATCCAAATGAGCCTGCCTCCTCAAGATCTCCTTGTTGGTGTTGCCACCAGGATGCGCGACAACACCGGTAGCCAAGAGAATGGCAGCGAGGGCTTGTGTGAGCTGAACCATGATGTCTGCAAATGCTCTGTGGACGTGAGGAGGCTCAAGGTGATCTCAAGATGCCATGTAGTCGGCCTTCTTATACTTTCCGGTTGCTGCGCCTTGGTGCGGTATTCCTGCAGGTGCTAATGACATCGTTCTGGATCTACACATCTGTGCTGTCGCTGTTCTCGTCACCGCGCAGTCTAAACTGCGTTCCCTGTTGTGTGCTACTCTCCACAGATTGTCTAGGATGAGGTCCATAATCAACATGGCTGTGATAGGCAGCGGCAATTGCTCGCTTCGGTACACGCGCCGCAGCTAGATTAGCGTTCATCTAGTGCCCGATCTTGGCGGCGGAGTGCATGCGGCATGGTAGTCTTGGTACGACTCTCCAGGACGACGTGTGGCTAATGTCGACCAGTCGTATATTAACCGGAAGTGCTGCGCGTGGTGATCGGTAGTTGAATGCGGTGTGATGCGTCCGCGTCATGATGCGAATCTGGATCTATACGTCTAAAAATGCACAAGCGAGCATCCCCAAGCTTGTATAGGTAAATACCTTCTGGTTCGAGGTTGGTGGGATGCTATTTGACGCTGCATCTGAAGACAGATACAAACTCGTTGAATCTACTTAGCCAGTCTCGGTTAAGCGAGGGGAGGGCGGTTGGATTTTACTGGGGCTTACACATGTATAGTCGGGCGGCCAAGACACCATCTGGATATACTTTTGCATTGATGAAAACCGGCAGGCTCGTAAGGTGGAGCAAATGGCATGACCCGTATTTCTCAGCACCAACAATGTCTTCGAACGGGTCGGGCCTATGGAGCCGAGTGTGCGTGTCTCATGTGCCTGGATGGATGCAGATCCTGGCAGCTGCCATATGTGACATGGGACTGGAGATGTCACGTAGCTGGGAGCAGCGCTCTGTACATGGCTCGATCTTCTACCCACGTTCACCGCGGAATGATTTCCACTTGTCGTAAAGCCGGTGACATGCTTCTTACCGGGCTCTAGCAGTCGAGACCGTGAGACCGACTCCTCTTACTCCTCGGAGCACTCGCTCAAGAACAGCCACTCGGTTCCGAGAGGTGGACTGTCCTTGCGGTATCTTCGGACGATACTCTTCCCCTCTTCGACGACATTCATTCATTCCTGAGCGCTCAAATTAGCACGTATATTGTCGAAGTTTCCGTAAGGTGATTATGGTGAGCAGACCGCGCATCGTCAGCACCCCCGTGATAGGCTATGGATATCCGGCAGCCCAAGCGGCGATATGCCACTAGCAGGAGCGTGGTTGAGGCGAGTACGCGTGGTTGAGGTAGCAGTATCGGGAGCCTTGATACGCAGGTTTAGAAGGTGAGTGGCTTTCGCATAATAGAGAGCTCGGAAGACACACGTGCCAGGGGCATTGCGGGGTGCGTAAGAGCTCATCATCAGTATTGCTGCCGCAGCCGGCATAAGGCAACCAAAGAAGACAATAACGCGACTATGCTCTGCAAGAGATATTAGCAGTACAGGAACTTCCTTGCTAGGTCCTCTATCTGTGCGTAAAGCCGCTCTTGCGCGCCGGCAGAAAGTGCCTAGGCATGGCTCACCCTGCGTGGGTTTCAAGGTGTCGCTGCAAGGAAGGAGCAGCCTGCGACTCCTGAACGGAAAACACAGACCTGCTGCTCTTGGAGTTGTAGCAGTAGGTATAGTAACGTGACATAAGCTTCGCGATTTTCTGGAGGCTGGAGCTTCGCAGTCCGGAATGTTCTCCATGAGCTAAGAACTGCGCTAGTCGCCATCCAGGTCTGTGCAAGCGACCTCGACAGCCTGGAGCCGTGCCTTCCGCACTCCTGGCCGAAACACGATCCTCGACAGCTGAAACCCACAACGCCAGGACAGCCCCGACACCAGCGTCTTGACGATGTTTGGTAGTCCTTTTCGTGTGCTCACCGTGACGCGATTAGCCCAGCGCCACACCTCCGTTGCACATTGAACGAATGGTAATGCTCATCAGCTCCGTGCCCCTGGCGGCACTCCTTATAGTATCAGCATCGCATGCCTGCGAAGTTAACCACAGTGGCGAAACGGGTTGGCGTCTGAGGGTGATGAAGAAACGACGAAACATTGCAATGCTTTTGCAAAATCAATATAGGCGTTCATGCTCGCTAGCACTAACTTTCTTTACTTGACCGTCGTCATTCCAGCTTTCTCACGCACGCATACAGCAAGATGGCGACTTTTCTCAATTCTCCATGTACACCTGCCAAACCCGCACATACCTTCTACCATGACGACAGCGCATCTCGAAGCCACAAGGCAAACCTGTCTGGCGCAACTATGCTGGACTTGTTGAGTGGCCCCGAAGGATCCATCGCCGCAGCCTATGAGTCCTCGAGCGTGCACCAGCGTTCTTCTAGGTCGAGGCGGCCATCCCAAACCTCGATCACCAAATCTCAATTACGCCAGACGAACCGCACTTTAATCGAAATCATCCACAATGTTCAAGCCGAGCTAGCGACACAGAGAGAGGCAATGCTCGACATGCAAACACGGATCCTTCAGCTTGAAAGTGCCTCGCAAATATACAACCAGGACCTTGGCCCGCGTCATACAATCGCCGGCCACCGCAAGCGGTCTCAAATCAGAAGCGCAGAGGGCGCTGCTCGCGAAACGCAGGGACGTTGGGACGCATACCAGAAAGATGTAGACATGCTTGGCCCTCCTCTTATCGCGAACGAGTTCTGGAAGTCACCTAGCCGTTTCTCTGGCTTCAACTTCAACTTCGATCTACTTGAGACGATACCGAAGTCTCTCCATCCCCCTCCTCCAGATGTGGACGATGTTCCGAGTCTTTCTCCAGATGAGCAGCCAGAAACATATACGCCGGGGCTTCGCCGGATTCCCGCCAGAATTACCCGGATCAAGACATCCGATCCCACTACGATGTACCATGATGCGGTGAGCGACATCAAAGAACACGTTGTAGAGTTCGACAAAATCAATGCCCCCATGCCTGTCAAGCTCCAGACACCGCCACGAAGTTCACGCAGCAAGTTGACATCGATGTACAGCCGGGATGATGAAATTACAGCATTACCCCGGATTCCCTTCCAGCCGGCACCAAGCACACATAACTCACATCGCAGCTTGATGGGTATCAAAAGCTTGCTATTGTACAGGACATCATCGAGGAGTCAGAAATCTGACTACCCTCCATCGGATCATCGACGTTCAGGCTCTTCTTTACGCTGTTGAGTACAGGTTGGCATCGCAGCGCAAGAGTGACGTTTGTATTGGTAGCAAGAGAAGCGAAGAGAAGGGAACTATGAATTAGAGTCGAAAGGGAATAGTTCGCGATAGACGTGTACGTGTTATGAGGAATCTATTACGCTGTGTTACCATCGCCGTTAGTCTGGACCACAGCTTCCAACAATTTCTTACAAGTTAAGTGCGCCATTCCGAAATATAGTTCAGAGAAATGCATACAACATGTCACCCGAATGGGCTCTTTCATCATGACTGTGAAGTGACAAATGCATGACCTCGTGGACGAGCAAATAGCGTGAACATGCCTCGGAGTTAAGGCGGCTTGGCATTTCTCGCGCTTTCCACCACGCAAAACGTCATTACCCGTTACATATATCATCGCGCCGCCTTCCACCTCCCCATCGACAACGACATCGCAAAGGCACACACACATCATGGCGTCCCTCTTACGGAGACCCTTCGCCATCACGGCAACATTGCGACAAGCATCGCCGAAAGCACCGCAGACCCTCACGATCCGCGCATTCCACAACACGCCACTGAAGCAGCAGTCGCACTTCTTCCGCCCCGCAAAGCCCACGGTATCGACATCGCACAATGTTTCCAAGTTCCAGCAAGCGTTCCGACGCGGATACCAGCAGGCTGCATACAACCCGGTGGCGCAGGGCGACTTGCGACAGCGCATGCTGTATGGAGCCGGCATCTTCGGTGCCACCCTTCTAGGCATCAACTTTATCTTCAACCGCGAGACCCGCGAGGACGGCGGCATGCCGCCATTCGAGCGCGAATACCTCAACGACACCTTCATGCACACTGGCCTCGGTATTGGAATGATCGGCATTGCTGCCCGCGCGCTGCACATGAACGGCTGGAGCTTCAGGCTTATGAGCGCAAACCCATGGCTGGTACTCGGAGTTGGCCTGGTTGGAAGCATTGGCACAATGTATGGCACCATGGCTACCTCGCCGTCTAAGTAAGTGTGGATATCGATATTGTGTTGTGGAGTAGACATGCTAACCCGACGCAGCTACGTCCAAAAGTACGCCCTCTGGACTGCCTTCAACGGTACTCAAGCCCTCCTCCTGTCGCCCCTCTTCTTCATGCACCCTGCCATCCTCGCTCGCGCCGGTCTCTACACTGCCGGAATGATGGGTTCAATTGCTTTCGTTGGTAAGTTGTGGCCCGTACGAAGTGCATGGAAGATACACACACTGACTTTTTATTTCCAGGTGCGACCGCAAAGACAGACAAGTACCTCTACCTAGGCGCACCGCTTTTGGGCGGCGTGGCCATTGTGGCGCTTTCTGGCCTCGCTCCACTCGTCATTCCCGCCACCGCTGCTCGCACACTTATGTTCACCGAGAACATCTGGCTATATGGAGGTCTTGCAGTATTTGGTCAGGCTCTTTCCCCTTGTATCAATTGCCTGTAAGACATACACTGACCGTTTTACTAGGAGGCTTCACGCTCTACGACGTGCAGAAGGTGCTGAACCATGCGCGCCAGGCCGAGCGCGGCTTGATCCCCAAGGATCCCGTCAACGAGTCCATCTCGCTCGAGCTGGACTTCATCAACATCTTCGTCCGCATGGTACAGATTCTGGGCATGAGCCAGAACAGGAGGAAATAAACATCTTGGAATAATGGCATAGGGAAGCCTGCAGGTTACTTAGGAGACTTGCTCGTTCTTCATCTTCGTTGAATATGCTATGAGTTTTGGCTATAGCTGTATATAACTCCTCTCTTTGGGCTTTTTGCGCTGATACATACCACAAATGAGCAAAAACAGTTGAAATCACTCCCTCATATACGTCTTTCCGATTTACTAGTCGAAGGCGGTCCGTCGCGCTGTATCTGTAATTATGCCCGATTATCTGTCACCCTGTACCACGGTAAGCAGTTGAAGCTTCCGTTGGCTTATCTTCTGCCTCCTCAGCTATAATTGGGTTGGTAGCTTGCTGCTACTGCAGCTGTAATCCCATTGCAGAGCGCTATCAACTTGTCCCGATCTTCCCATCTGGGTAGTTCAGGCGCCAACTTCAGCCATTGGCCCACAGCATCTGTGAGGCGTCCTCGGTGGTCTTCTGTAGCGATATGAGCAACGCCAGTTGCAGGATCATCGGGATTTTGAGGAATGAGAGCTGCACCGGCACGAATCATCATCATCGTTACTTCAGCATCATCCACAGCACGGAAACTCTTCCTAGTGACCATGTGCTTGGATTCCATCCATGCGACCCAGCAAGTTTTCGTATCATCCCCAGACAGTTCTATACTGTCGTTTGGATCGCTGCCAGCGCGGATAAGAAGATCGATCATACCCGGATAACATGCATACTCGTCTTGATATACAACGCTTGTAGCCAACAGTGGACTCAGAAAAGCGTGATAGAGAAGGCTGTATCCCGGACTTTCTTGCCCGCTTCTCAGCTTCCGGAGGTCGTTGAAACTTTTGAGGTCGTGTCTTTGGGCGAAAGTTGTGAAGCCGATTTCTATTGCTAGTAGAATAGCATTTGTATCCAGTGACAGATCGGACACAGGGGATAGATCTGAGTTCTTGTAGTTTGTTTCATGTAGAATCGCAAAAGCGAAACGGCTAAGTAAGCGGGACATGTGCGAAGGCGAATTCTGTTCCACCTCCTGCGCATAAGCAACGGCAGTCCAGAAAGCCCTATCCTTCCCCGTGATGCTTCCCAGTTCGCTGTTGTACAGGGTGTAGCAGGACATATATGCCAAAACCGTGCTGGCGTCAAAAGCGTGGTCACTGATGTGCAGGCAATCAATGTCCCAAATATTCGGAGTACTGAGGAACTCAAACACGGTACGGTGCATGAAATCGACGTAAGGATCCTTGCTCATAAAGGACTTGTAGACCTCCAGGAGTCCTCTACATCGACTACGCAAACGGCCTTCGAACATCGTAGTTCTGGATCTCTTTTCATCGAGATTAGGTTCTGTGAAATCTTCCATTGCGCGTGTCTCCATGTTCTTTTCATAAGCCCAGGCTAAACTAACGGCTGATGTCTTGTCTTCGATTTGTAGTGAGCGATGGATGTAACAAATTCGCAGAAGTCGCGCAGCTTGTTGAAGGTAGCGAGTAGGGAGGCCGTTGAGTATGTGGCGGAAGAGACTTTCGAGTTCCGGTGGTAATTCCTCAACGCGACGTCGTATTTCCTCTACGCTGTCGTAGGCCTCAAACCCCTCAAGGAGCGTGCGGCACGCAAGCACGACCCATAAGAATACACCATCTGCTTTGTTCTGTATGTATTCTATCAGCTCTTGGACGATTTCGTGGCTTACGAACTTGTACTCTGCGACATAGGAGTGTGACCTCACAGTGTCGTTGATGTACAGTTCGATGTCCGGTCTCGTTATATCCTGAAGTCTCAGCTGCGGCGCAGAGGAGAAAGCTGCGATGCATGTATCAATGGGCCTGCTTGAAACTAGGAGCTTGATGTTTGCGCTGGTTGCGAGGCTTTTCACAAAGGATATACCGTCTCGTTCGTTGCCCGTGAACTCATCGAGACCATCGATGAAGAAGGCGAAAGCTCCGTTCGTTGATATAGCGCCTAAATTTTCGAATGCGGTCTCCATCTCGGTGTTCGACAACACTTTTAAGTCGCTAGTGCGATTTTGCGCTTCTTGCCACATATGCGGGAGTACTGCAGGTATCAGTTTTGGGTTCTGCCCGAGAACATGATATAGCAATCCCCGGGCAAGTCCTTCTTGTGAGCTTTGCTCTACAGATCCGATATTCCACAAGAAGAATGAGGCCATTGTCAATGTTCTGTGACCTGCCCACGAGCGTAGTGACGACATGGTCTCGGGGTGATTGTACAGGAATTTCTAATTTGATCATAACATTAGTACACTATTCGCACGAACTTCATGCTTAAATATTGCTCACCATCAACGTCGATTTACCGCTGCCCGGTTTACCATGTATCCAATAGATATCGCGTCCAAATCGTAGCCATTTTCCCAAGTCATCCCAAATGACCCCAGATGCAGGCGGTTTGATGGCCCATTCGTAGGTGTTGGAGTGAGTTGCGGCGATGTTGTTTCTTCTATCGTCGATTAAGCGAAACCAAAGTCGGTCCAGAATCCTTTTTGTACATTTTTCATCGAATGCCTTCTTTTCGTCGCCCACGAGCTTGCTCTTGTTCACTACGTAAGAATCGATACGCCTATCCAAGTTGCAATCGCTGTTCAAAGCTTGTGTTTCATGCTTCTGTACAGTGTGGCCAAACGCATTGTCCAGCCGGCGTGGGACCACTTGATTGATGTCTGTGATCAGATCCGATAACTTGGAAATAAGGCTTTCAAATTGTTCCTTGTCTTTGATGACCCATTTTATCCTACTGAAACTGGAGGATTTGCTTTTGCAATCTTTGCTTAAAGACTAAAGAGAGTCTCCACCTTGACCAAACTGAGAATTCGACGATTTGAGAAGGGGTCGGAAGTTGAGCAACCTTTTGCGTAAGCTTGTCCGCGGTCGATCAGTCACAGCCGCTGAGACATCCGTTACGTCGTCAGCTGATCTCAGACCATAACGTTGTTCCAGTACGTCTCCGTCTTGCAGAAGCCCGAGAATGCAGCCAAGACCTTGCTGCACAAGACATCGGAGGTCTGGGTCGTCCAGTCGCGTATCGTACCCATCGACATCGTGTAACTTCAGTCGTTCTGCCCATTGGAGCAACAGCGTCTTTTGGAAGTTAAGCCTTGTTTTGAGTAGTGTGTAATCTTTCTCCATGCATTTGGCCGCTCCAATCTGCGAGAGGAGCGTCACACAGTCTTCGAAGACCCCAATGAGCGCAAGCGTGCCAACAGCAAGGCCGGCAGTCTCCATGGCGGCTGAAGAATCAGTGTAATTTCAGCCACACCTATGCATTCTAAACATGCGCTTTAAATCGTCAGTATTATAACGCAAAGTATGGTAGAAATAACTTCAACGAACGTTCAAGACGATTTCAATGTTTGGATGCGACTGACGCTCCAGTGTTCGTGCATCACACATGAAGGCAACTTCTCAACAGGGCGCTCGAGCGGTCGTGTGCGAACATGTATGGGGCAAAGTCGTACTGGAGCTCAGCTGAGTCTTCGAGGCTGTGTACTGGAAGTTTCTTCATGTGTGTGTGTGGAAGGCTGAGTGTGCATGCCCCAGCGACTGCACGCGACGCGGCCTTCAATGACTGGTTGCACATCGCAACACCAAGTACGCCACTTACCGCAGCACCACGGAAGGCGTTTCTGCCTTGCCGGAAGACCAAGCTGTGCGGTCAGGCAAGATAGCTACGCCCCGTTCGCTGCTCACACTCTATCTGCTCCTATGCACCAGCGGCTACAGGAGGCTGTGCCGTCGCAAATGCACTTGCGACAGCCTGATTACCTAGGTACCTAGGTACAAAATGGGTACGCCTTGAGACGCATTTTCAATCGAAGAAGTCGTCATATATCCCGAGGAGATCTATAGAGTGAGTGCGTCTCAGCAGAGATAAAGCGTTAGACTAAGCAATTTGGCAGCTTGCAGTTCTCCAACGCAATCTCCGCACCTTGGCATTACCTAGGTCGCGATGGAGAAATCCAGATTTGCATCAATGAGCTCATCTGTGGCGCCACATTAGTAAGCTGTGGCTTGCACACCAAAATCCATCAGCCACCTCGCGCTGCCAATGTGGTTCACGCATAGCATCACATCAGCATCAGGCAGTATAATCAGAAAGCAGGCACATTCCACTGGAAAAACAACATCTCGACCCCCACCACCGTGCCACTCTACCCGTAAACTTGGCAGGCTTCGGTATACCTTGTCAGGCAAACGCCGCGATCGGACCATTGCTACTCCGACATGACTCGAAACCAAACAAGGCCTCCGGTACTGTATCCACCCAATTACAGTAGTCGGATCTGGGCGATCTTGGTACTGACCACGTGCGGGAGGGAAGAGTGCATGAGGCTCTGCTCCGTTCTACGGTGGAGCATGCGCAGGGCGAATGTGGAGAGTGTGAAGCACATGACGTGAAATGCGCGAGAGGAATTATGCATCGTTAGTAATAGCGATTGAGCATGGCACACATCATCCAGAAAGCATAAGGAAGTGAAGGAATTATTGTTTTTTATGTTTTTATTCATTCATCGTATCTCATGATCATATGGATCTATTTGGTTTCATCATCATGGGTATCAGCCAGCGGCTCAACCGCTTAATCATGTTCTGCACTGCAGACAAGATCTGGTGGAAGAGCATGCTCAAGCCTTCTCGTTGTGGTTGGAGCCGTCAACAACCTCAACTGCCTTGACACCGTCCTTCTCGCTGTGCATGCTACCAGTCTCAATATCCTTGACGGGCTCAATGTTGGCACCGATAGGACCAGCCTCCTCGAAGTGACGACCCTTCTTCTCGGGGCCAAGAGCAGTAGTGACAGCAATACCGAGAGCGATGATTGCAGTCGCAACAGCCATGACTGGTCCGTAAGCGGGAGACTGCTCGCCCTTTGCAGTGCTGATCATAGTGGCCTCGGCGACGGCGTTGACGATCTGAGCGGAGGGCGAGGAAATCATGTTTCCGAGCTGGTAGGTGATACCGACGAAAGAGGATCGGAAAGCAGGTGGTGACAGCTCGCTCAAGTGGATGGGAATGACACCCCAAGCGCCCTGGACAAAGAATTGGATCATGAAGCCAGATGCGGATAGACCACGCTCAGTGGTGGGGAGGACCCAGGCGGGGATAAGGCAAGCGGAGATCAAGGCAGCGCAGACGATCATGCGGCGACGACCGAACCATTGCGAGGTGTATCCAAGAATGGTACCACCGACACAGGCACCGGTCTTCATCAGGATGGAAGCACGGGTAGCACCTGCGGGGCTGAGATGCTTCTGCTCCTTCATGAAAGTAGTGTAGCTGTCTTGGCTCGTGTGGGAGTAGTAGTTGAACTGATAGATGTTAGCGGCAGTTTATCAACTTAGAAGCGGCCTGTCATACCCAAGTCATGAGGATGATGCAGTAGACACACATCTTCCACTCCTTGCGAAGCATCTGCTTTGTCTCGGCCCAGAAGGCACCGGGCGCCTTCTTGTGCCCAGCCTTCTTTGCCTCTAGGAACTGCTTCGATTCAGGGAAGCATACGCGGATGAGACCGACAGCGATCGAGAAACCGGCGCCGACCCAGAAGACGGTCTTCCAGGTGTTGGTCGCACCACCGACACCCAAGTTGGCGCAAGCTGCGAGCACATAACCGAATGAGTAACCTTGCTGTAGGATACCACTCATAAGACCACGGGCGTTGACCCTGCGAATGTCAGTATGGGACTTCCATGTAATTAACTCAGATGTACTTACGGGCAGTTCTCAAGCGCCATGGAGATGGCGTTTCCGTAGACACCTCCCATGAAGAGACCGAAGAGACTCCGTACAGCCAAGAATTGCTGGAAAGTTCCAGCGTAGATGGTAGCAACCTGGAGAAGACCCAAGATGATCATGTTAAGAACCATGGGCCACTTTCGACCGAACTTATCGCCAGCCACGCCAAACCTTACAAACCAGTCAGTATTTGTCTCACATACAGTTCGTACATGGGTATTACTAACATAGCAGCACCGACGGAGCGGAGAAGCAGTGTTAGGGTGATGGCCGTCGAGATAGCAGTGTTTGAGGTGTCGTAGTAGTCGGCAAGCTTGGTAGTCTGAATTGACAGCGCGTGGAAGTCAAAGGCGTCGGCAGTCCATGCGAGGAATCCGACAAGGAAGTACTGCAGAGGTAGGGGTACGAAGTCAGTATATGTCTCACATGCACTTCGTACAGTCACAACTTACCAGCCAATCCTTAACTCCGAGTTGAGCGAACAGGCTGATAGGATTCTTGAGAGGCTCTGGCTTCTGCCACTCGCAGTGCTCCTCGCCGTAGTCATTGCGAACGACTACACGTTGGTCCCAAGTGAAGAGATCCTTGAGACTCTGTTTGGCGGTGGGGATGATGCCCTTCGCCAATGGGTCTGCTGGGCGGTTGGTGCTCGCCATGGTGCTGATGGTAACTTGAAAAGAGCTTGGAGGCAATGAGAAGGTAAGAAGACTGCCCTGTAGATGTAGGCGCAAGTCCGATCGCACTGCTGATTTCAAGATCGAGCGCGGGGGAGCTCAATATATACCCGCAGTCATCTTGGCTGACCAGAACGCCTCGTAACGATACTATCAACGCCCATGTCAGTCAGCCGCTGAGTCTTGATGCGAGCCAAGTTCTGCCAAGTCCGTCCGTGCAGTTCGATTTGCAGTGAATGTAACCATCTCCGGTCCGCCAAGAGCGCTATTTTGCACTAAGCCTTCCGGTGGGCCAAGCTAGCGCTTGTGCGCAAGTGACAAAACAGAACATGTCCCGGGGTCGGATCGGACGTATCAGTGCGTTCTCTCAGAGCGGAGGAAAGAAGTGGGTGTGACGATCCTACGACGCCGTTGACATCTTCCCCATGGGGTCGCCCTTTCGATTTCCCGCAAACGTGGTAACTTTCCGACTACAGATTGCGCGACCACACCACACATACTTCGTTGATATGCGTAGTAGCACCGAAAACCGTTCTGTGCTTGTGTCCGACCAAGCTCCGCAAGCGCTGGCGAAGCTTCCTCGCGAGACTTGCTCGCAAAGAAGCTTCGAGCCAGTGAAGCAGCCACAAAACTTGGCGACTGACCCCGCAGCGACGAGCTGTGCCGCCGCGGCTGCCGAAGCTTTTCTCGCCTCGTTGTAAGCCAAGATGGAGAACGGCACATACGACGGCCAAGATGCTTCGTCGTCAGCCGAGCGCCCTTGAGTGGGCTTCTTTCAACACCCATCCTTTGTTCATAGAGGCCCGTGGCAACGTCCCAACACCGCGCCTTCAGCTATTGTTAGTGATCGGACAACACGCATCCGGTCAAACTGTTGGTCTGGACTGTTTTTGGTGTTATGTGCGGACTAAGCACTGGTGCAAGGCCCGATGGTGCGGCTTGCGGTCCCTGGGTGGTTGGATGTTTCGCGCACGCGGCAGAGTGAACAGCAAGCGCGCACGAGACATGAAGTGTGAGCGGGGACAATCCGGTCTTGGCGATAGAGGTGTGCTGGCTAACATGACCTGACCTCAACCTTGCTGGTGCGCGAAAAGACCAAATATGGTTCGGTAGATGCTCAGGATTGGGTGGATGAAGGAGAGATGTGGGGATGACGGCGGAGGCGATAACGTTTGGACGGGGGAAGGCCCCCCGTGTCCTCGCTAAATCCTTCACACCAAGACTCCGAGTTCAAACGCCGAAACGACTACAATTACTCGTGTGTATTCTTGGACGTGGTAACAATTGCATAATATCGTATCCACAGTTGTGGCCTGAGGAAGGGCATGCGCCCATGGAGGCCACATTTCTACACGGCTTCCGGTTCGAGCCCCGAGACTCTGGCTATACGCGCCGAAATTGTGCCTGATTAAATCCTTCGCAATATTAGAATTCGGTATGAACTACCACTATCTAGCCGAAGATTTGCGTAGCTCGAACGGATGCAAGCCACAACCCCATCTTCACCGGAAGACCTACAATGGTTAACCTTCTCAAGAGATAAGGGTCTGTCTAATTTTGAAACGGATGGATTGACTTGCGCTCTAGCTAGATCACCCACTTGCGCATGCATCATGCATTCTACTCTTCCAACTTGGCACAGATCTAGGCACAGCGGGATATGGGGAGGCGAAAATACCGAACACGGTCCTGGCAGCGACACCAATCACACGCCGTGCGAATCCACCCGGTAGCTTCTGGCCCTGCATAAATGCGGCTCTTAGTTCGGATGTGGCAACTGCTTTTGACCGCGGCCGCAAATCCATGCGTCTACGCGGGATGTAGATCGTTCGACTTCCTCGAGTGATCCGGAAACACTTCTTCTGGGCGATATCAAGTCGACTTGATGGAGCAAGACAAGCGTTGGCATAGTCGTAGCGAACATTCAGATGCACTAGTTGAAGGCGTTGAGCACAGTATGATGAGTATATGATCGCTATTCGGTGCCGTATTCCGACAGAAACGTGGTAGTCACTGCCATCACACCGATCGCGGTCACGACAGGATGAGACTCTCCGGTATTCATTCCCTCATCAGGGAAAAGAGGTATCGCTTCCTCGCTACAACGTCACGACAGGTCACTGGCAAACAAGTCCGTTAGTCGGAATACCAAGGCTTGATACCAAGACTCACGAGGTACCTCGTTGATCATTTTTTACGCTGCGAAAGAAAATGCCTACCCTTTATACCCTGTTGCCTTCCGTTTCTTCGCCACCCGGCCAGCCTTCAGCGTCTTACCACGCTTCGCATTCTGCCTTGCTTGTGTCCTGGTTGCAACGGCGCGCTCCCCTGGGTTGGCTACGATGTTCTGCAGACTACTGCCGCCGAGCAAGGAGTCGCACCTTGTCTTGGAAACAGTGAGCAGTTCTATGATCCTATTCATCCGGTGTTGGAACGTCCAGCCACGTGTTCGCCCTGCTGATTCCCAGAAATTGTCGTCGAAGGAATGCAGTGCCGATGGCCCAACCCGGTGCAAACGCTCTACAAGATCCTCAATATTCCAGCAAAGGATGAGTTTATCTAGAAAGAGGTAGTAGTTACTTGGCCCTTTCACCGGATCAGTCCAACGCTTCTTGAAGTCTTTGCCTTTGTTGCCTTGGGTATTCTTGACGTTGTTGACGGCATCGAGGAGCTTTTGGACCCACTCCTGGCGGTGCGCATCTGACGTTGGAAGGGTGTCGTCGTTGATGGGTGGGCTCCAATCAGGTGACGGCATGGCAGCCATAGCCTCATCAAGAGAAGCATACATATCGGACGGGTGAGCAGAGTGTGCGTAGCTCTGTGTACCTCGGTAAGTATTAGGCGGCGCAATAACACTATGTTGGTCAACTTGTTGAGCAGAGTACTGAGGGGCGAACATTGGATTGACAGCTGGCGTATCCTGAGCGTAGCCAATATGTGGACTCATGTTGCCGTAGTTGACGTAGTTATTGCTGTAGTTTGTTGACATCATGGGAGACGAATACACTCTTGCGTCAGGAATATGCCATGAAGCATTCCGAGCATCCCATGCGTCCTGCTCCTGCTCTTGCTGTGGATTTGGAGGTATCATCTTCAGATATGTATGCCTGACTGTTATACTGTCCTAAACTGGGGTTGAGTTGTGTCTCGGCGATGTATGCTGCTAGTCTAAACCTGAAATAGAAGGCGCATTTTACCATAATAGGCAGGTGGTGTGAATGCACCTGGGCACCTTGCCAGGCGATAGAATGATCGCGTGAACGCCAAGAGCAAGCAGCGCAACATCGTGAAACACCAGCACCCCCGAGCGGTGAATGGAACGCATTAATCTGTTCTTCTCAAATGAAGCAGGCGCGCGAGACGTTAAGACGGTACGGGCCAGCATTGATGCCCATTAGACTGTTCATCGTAAGACGTAGTGCGTCGCGTCGCAACGCGATGCAGTGCGCGCGAAACCAGAGTAGGCTGAGAATTCCAGTTCGACTTTTGGTGTTTCTTCTCCGAAGTCTCCAGGCAGCAGCGAGAGCGAAGACGATCATCGCTTTGCGAGAGTTTGCCAGTTTGCAGTAACGTGGATCAGAGGGAAGCCACGTACCGAAGACGCGTGCAGCTCGGAGCACGTACCAGGCCTGGCTAAAAAGTGACGTCACGCGTCGATGATTTGGCCACCAGGGCAGAGACGTTGCTCACCATCACAACCACAACATCAAAGCCCACGAAAGTCGCATCATTTAATGAAAAAGCACCCATTTTATTGCAAACTATCATCCACGAAGTAGCCACAGTGTTCAGTGAGCACGCGCGCGTTAGGATGTGCAAAGCACATCTAAGCAAAAGACGAACAAGTCTGCGAGACGATAAAAGGTTCATGTAATTTACTACGAATACATGAGAATGCCAAAATTTTCAAAGAAGCACCAGTACAACGGTCCGCCTCAGCTAAATTTGGAACAGAAGAAGACGCAATCTAGCGAGGAAGGACGGAAGTTGTCACTACTGCCCGTTCTAATCCTCATTCTCATCGTCATGCCCCATTTCCTCAGCCTCCGTCTCTTTACCCGCAACAAGATCATCCTGTCTATTCCGATTGTGGTGATAGTTACTCCTTGTCTGTCTAATGAGCAACGGCGCCGTAGCAACCACCATCTCCAGCCCCTCAAACTTGAGCAGATTTCCACACCTAGCCTTGCTGATGCGCATCAGCTCACACACCTTGTCGATGCGCGCACTGAATGTGAGATCGCGGTACTTGTACACGTTCTCTAACTTGCCTTGATCGTAGATATTGAGAGAGATGGGGCCATGGGTGTGCAGGTTGATGGCGATGGCGAGGAGGGCATGACAGACTGTGGTGATCATAGCTGGCGTGTAGGGGGAGGTACCGGACGAGAGGTTAGCCCAACGAAGGTCGAAATTGGCAACAGTGGCGCTGTCGATGCATTGGGTGATGTCGGTGAAGGCGTCGTACAGCCGACGAATGTAGAATCTGCGGGCCGCTTCGTCTTGGGGAAAGCTGCTGTCGTTTGCCAGGGGATAATAGTTATGGTGAATGACGCGGGTGGCCGCAGCTTGTTGTGCTTCAGCGAGGTTGGCAAAATGCATACTTTGGGGGGGAGCGGCGGCAATTGCGCGTGGTACCTGAGTGGGCGCCTTTGAGAAAGCAGGAATTGCTACTTGTGGCGTTGTTGGACGTGTGAAATCTGGACGCCACGATTGATCTTGCATTGGCTCGGGGGTCGGCACTGTTAGCCGCAATGCCATAGACTGACGTCCGGCTACTTGTTCTTGCGATGTATCAATCATGGGTTGGCTTTGTAGCTGTAACTGTTCTTGCATCCACGGTACTCTTGCTCGGGTGTGTGGCGGATAAATATGTTGTGGTGTTGTCGGTAATGTCTGCAGCTCATTGATCAAACCTTGAGATGTTTGCGCATGCTGGCGAGTTCTAGCAAGAGCGACCATGGCGGCCGCACGAGCATCTTGCAGACTCGTATCATTCAACCCTATTGGTGTATAGCGTATCTCGTTATACGGATTTCGTTCCTCGTGCCACTGTGGCAGCTGATGGTACTGGCTGTCGCTCTGCTCTGGGGAGAGGGGAATATCAATCTGCCAGGACTCAAGGTCCATATTGTCCATAGTGAACTCACCAAGATCGGCTTCTTCCGCCTTGATGGCGGCGAGAACCTCGGGATGAATGGCGCCGATGACTTTGTTGAACAGCTCATCAATGGTCTCTGCGTTCTGGCAGTTTTCCTCCCCAATGGCGTCTTTCGTTTGTTCGTTGGCCAGCGTAACGAACCGCGGATCTTGATCTCCCTCAGACATATCTGGTTGTGGTTGCGGATTCATCGTAATCGTGACGATAGTGTGTTACTGTAGTTCGGAAAGAGCTGGTTCTGATGAAAGCCTGGGACTCGGTTGCGTACGCCTTGAGAGGGAGTTGTAATGAGTGACATTACTTCAGACGCCAGGAAGGAGAAACTCATGTGTTCACTAGTGAGCTGACATCGTGAAGCACTTCTGTGAGGGTAGTGGAACATTGTGGTGAAATAATTACCTGACAAGCGCACCATCGAGGTGAATTTTCTTGCGACTGGATATTTCGCTGGGTGAATGGGTGGAACTGGCGCTCTCGTTAATCTAATGCCGTCTCATTACAAAATGAGGCGCGAGTGGCAAATGACGGAACGAGAGGGTTTGTATATTGGCATGGTTGTATATAGTGGACGTGTAGTTATAAAAGCAACGCAGAATTGCGATCATGAGATAGAAATGAATGTAATAGACGCAAGCATCCCGTATACGTATCGAACCATGGTGATACTAGAATTGTCCCCGGCTTGATTTCAACTTTGAAACGTTTGCGGTCGATCGGCCTGGTGACTGCGAGACAAGCGTACAATCCAGGGACAGGCGGCAAGGAGATCCCCGGAGTGGTCCGCAAGAAGGGGCGTAGAGCTCTTATGAGAGGTGTCGAAGTAAGTGGCGCTTTCAATGTCTTTCTGGAATTTCCAGATTCCAGATGGTAACAAACGAAGAAAGGCAAACCATTTCCAACAGCACTCACAAGCGCTCTGCGTCCCTTCTTGCGGACCACTCTGGTGTTCTCTCTGTAACCTATCACGGGAATGCGATGGCCTAGGCAAGAGTGGTGGCGGCAAGTCCAGTGGTGATGTGCTGGACAGTGGACGACCCAGAGAGTAGAGGGTGGTCAAAGAACCCCATGTGCTCGAGAGCATTGCGAACAGCGGCGAAAGATGCATCTCGTGCATCTACGTGTATCGCTCCCACAATGGCTTCGAAGGTGTTCGCCACCATGTCGTTAGATGGGCTGCTCATGCCCCGGTTCATGATGATGAGCTTGTCCAGTCCAAGGCTGAACCCACGTTCAGCAAACTTCTCATTGCTGACGAGATCGTTGCGCATCTGGGTCCAAGCTGCGAGGCTGTAACGCTCACCTGGTATAATCAGTATCGAGCTATGGTGAGCGCTGTAGTTTGGAAATACCCTTGTGATCGCGTGCTTCGTACCACATAGTAGCTAGCACAGCATCGATGACAGCGTCTCCGACCAACTCGAGGTCTCTGTTCTTGTGGAAGAGATGGAGTGTTCCTTCGACGCGAAGAGGACAATTCGGTTCCTTCATCTGCAAGGCTTCTGCACATAGCAGCTTGTTCTGTAAGTGATACCCAGTCATGGTCTGGACTTGCAGGATGCGGCTGTCCATGTCGGTCATATTTGCGGGATCTCTTCGGTTTCTCAGCTAGGCTTCGGTGATAGAGAGTATAGCGTTGTGGGTATTTCCTATAGTCAACGACAGATGCATGGCTTTTATTCATCTTTTGGATGTCCCTGCCTAGCGATCGATCCATTGCAGACTTCACCGGTGACTGCGCCACACTAAATTGTTTCGTGTAACCACACCGTAGTAGATGTGTCACTGGCAAAGGACCAAGGCTGACAGCCCCTCGGTTCAAGAAGCTGTGCCATGGACTGCATATGCATCGATCGATTGGCCGTGAACCGCTGTCAGAAGCGTTGGAAAGCTAAATCATGTAAGATAGGACATGCTGGACAAGACAAATGAATCAATGTCAATTCGATTTCCCTGCAACAAAAGAAGCGATGTAATGAAGGGCAATTCTTCTGGCAGTGGAGTGCCCTTAACCCTGTACCCCATATGACGATCAAAAGTGCGACGTTGAGATCAGCACCTCGAGGGGTTGTCTACGAAGGACCAGGCTGCATACTTCCGGTGAGCTTTCGCAAGGCTTCCAGGCAACTGCCTAAGTGCCCGGAGGAGGGGTGCCGTTCTGCTGCATGCATTAGAAACCATATGCAGAAGACACGTTGTTAATGGCGCAGTGGAATCCGAGAGCGCAGGCTGGTAGATCCAAGCGGGTGCGGCGCAGCTGTGGCTGATATTTGATGGTCGAGACATCCCCGAATTATCGAAGCGACAAAGAGGCGCCCCAGAAATGTCTTTCCCTTGCGTTCCAGTCTCCTCACGGAGGCGCAAACGCAGTGAGAAGCAGAATGAGACGCCAACTGTTCGTTAAGAGAATTTGGGATTGCCTTGTCTAGCAGATCCCAGAGGCAGCTGTGCCGGGATCTAGAAGTTTGCACATCAGTCAACATAGCATCGCTATTCATAACGGGAAGAGGAGGATTTGAGACGTTACCGTGAGGAGCTCATGGCCGAAGAAACCGAGAGACTGCATGACGCGCTGGACGGCCGCATCTCCACCATCCTGATAAACCGCACCAATAACAGCTTCAAAGGTCGTGGCCGCCATTTTTTGGAGACACAACAGGCTTGCTGTCAGCCGTAATGATGCATTCGTCGAGACCAACCTGGTGTGCCCGGCGCGCCAGCGCATCGTTGCTCAACGATTCGTTGCGCATTTGCGTCCATTGCGCCTGAGAAAGCACTTGGCCTGATGTCTTCAGTACCCCGCAGCACATGTGCTGAGGAAAGCGTTTCTTACCACTCGGATTGCGAGCATCAAACCAGGCACCGCACAGCACCTTGGCGAGCACTGCATCGCCCAATACAGACAACCTTTTGTTGTTGTTTAGGCCAAGAAAGGCACCGTTGTGTATCAGCGCAACCTGCGGAGCAGCCATTTGGACAGCCTCGACAGCAATGCGCCTGTCAGAGAAGATATACCCGATTGATTCCTCAACTTCGCGCGCCTTCATTTCGATGTGAATCATTGTGGGTTTTGGAAACTGATATGTTGATGGGTCGAGATGGGACGAGAAAGAGGTTGCAACAACTGTGGTGTGCTTCGCGTGATGATGCAGCTTATCCGGGTTTTCTTGGCTACAGGCTCTGCGAGAGACTGCTGTTATAGCGCACAGAAATAGCAGGTTGTCATCAATATCAGCTCGAGAATTAGCCATACAGCTTTCGACAAGATGTCCAGACTGGCATGGCCAACGCCGCGAGAACGCCTTTGCCTGCGCAATGGTCGCATCCAGACCCCGGCGTGCCGACAGCCGTTCCTGATGAGCGACGGCGCTACGCCAAACCTCTAGCTTCTTCCCAACTAGCACCACCCTACGTCATTCCAAAAACGCATGAAAACAGGCATCATGGGGTTCCCGCCAAGCGGGATTGAACGTTAAGAGACTGGGCATGCCAGTCAGTCGACACATTCAGTACTTTTGCTATCCGAATAAGCGGTTCGCGGACGTAACACCGAGACGGATCTACCGGAAAGACCAACCACAAGGGTCTAGTCACTATGGCAGAAGAGATGGTGGTGCGCGGCCCTGCAGACGTCCTCTCAAGCGTGCGACCTGCTGATTTGCTTTCTCGATAAACAGGAGCTCGGATTCGAGGGTCTTGACAAGTTCACCGACAAGTACTTTGACAGAACCTACGATCGTCTTCCGGCATTTCCCAAAACAGGAAAGGAGAAACGCAAGCTACAAGCGCAGCAAAACCAATTCCAGCAAAACGCACAAGGCCCGCCTGTTCAAAACGCACATCAGTCGTCCTACCCGGCTCAGACCGCTTCGCGAAATCCCGACAAGGAGTACACTTCGCCTCGCTCTGTACCGAAGAGTGTAGACGGCTACAACTCGGACCCAGAGATGTATGCGCCAGACTACAGGCAAGACCGTTATGGCCCAGATGATCGGTACTACGAGACGGAACAGAACGACCACAGGGCGCCGGGACCAGGGTTTAAAGTCCCGCGCGGTCGCGACGGACCGAGTGACACCCGCGACATGCAGGTAGCAGTGCGCTCTACTCTGAACAGTATGCAAGACTTAAGCTAACCAACAATAGCCATACCCACAGCAAAGTCAGCCTGACTACGGTCAACAACGCGGATACGGGGGCGCCGGCGGTAGACCAGGTACCCAGCGTAGAGGCTCATCGTGGTCTCCGCCGCGGTCTGAGCGACAAGGCCGACGAGAAACGCGACGCCGTCGGTCTAACTCGCGCTCTCGGTCTCGCGACGACATGAAGAGCCGTCTGATTGCGACTGTTGGTGGCGCATTGGTGGGCGGCATAGCAGGCAACCAAGCGACTAAAGGCAAGAAGTACGACACTGTCGCAACGATTGCTGGAGCCATCATAGGCGGTGTTGGTGCAAAAGAAGCCGCGGGCCATTGGGACGAACGCAAAAGGAAGAAGGAGCAGCAAAGGAACGGTGATTGGGAGGAGGACTACGATGACAACAAGCGCAGGAATGATCGCAGGAGAGACGACCGATACGACCGTGACGACAGGTACGATGACAGATATGAACGCGATGACCGAAGGAGATACTAGACATGCTTCAGGATGGTGGGCCCGGGCTGACAAGGTATCCGGGACTTTGGGGCTGGCGCCAGGCGTGCGCGACATTTCTTAGGGGCGAAATTTTCAGGCTCCGGTATGGAGTTATGGATGGGGCAACCTGGAACACGATACCTTTGTACGATTTGACGAAAAATGGATGACATGCAGGAGCAGTAAACGTTTGTTGCGGGAATGACGTGCGACGTGCGAGCCATGTCTGCGACGTGATCTGATGCGAAGGGGAGGGGCCACGCGACGGTGGAAGTTCACAGGAGGCGCCAGGGGGCCGACTGTCGGTGCGGTGGTGGGCTGCCGTTCGTAATAATAGCCGACACACGAGGCACATCTCTGTGCTTTTTTGCCGATAAAGAAATTCCAGAAGGCTTCTGGAGGGTGTGGAGAAGTTTTGAAGCGGATGCGGGCGTAGCAGACACACTGTGTAGAGATTCCCAAGCTTGATAGCCATGATAAGAGGCAAGGTTGAGCTCGGTGTTATAGCTAAGGCTGGCATGCGGTTTCGAGAAGCCTAGTAGAAGGTTAGGCTGATCCACCGCGTTGCGGGACCAAGCCTCGTCCCGCAATCTATCCATCATCTCTCCGAGCAGCACGCTTCAGTCACAAGAAATTATACACTACACAGCAGCCAGCACGCACCGACCCACTGCAGGTTCCCGAGCTGCCCTGACCCAAGCTTTCCGCCCGCCCAGCTGCAGCATTGCTCAGTCATTGTGCTACCCACCCGCTGCGCTTCGTCTGCATCCCGCTCCTTCGCCGAGCAATCATCTCGCAACCCAGAGACACTCGAGCTGCTGCACCGCGCATACCCACGCACCACCATGAGCTGGTGACTGCCCGACAACTGCATCGCCCCTTCCCCACCACGCACGAGCTCCTTCCCTAACCGTCTGACACCTGCCCCTCGCTCCTTCCCAACCGGCAAGTTTGCCTCTGGCGCCGCTGCCGGCCACCAACACGACGATGCGCCGATACAGGCCTGGAGGAGGTCCCGTGCGGGCTCATGGCGGCGTGCCGGTGCCTGATCCCTTTGCCATGGTACGCGCATACGACAGCGACTCCAATCCCGCCCGCCCGATACGTCCCTCCCCGCTGGCCGCCTCGACGATTCAGGGTCTACCGCTAGACCTGCTCGACCGCCTGCGCTCCTTCCCGCTGTTCCAGGCAGCCCCCGACTCCTTCCTCACACAGGTTGGCCTGCACCTGAAGCCGCAGCTATACCAGCCTCATGACACAATTCTCACCGAGGGCGAGACGGGCAAGGCCATGTACTGGCTGGTCCGCGGAGCCGTGCGGGTGACATCGCGGGACCAGGAGAGCACATACGCAGAGCTGAAGCCTGGTGCGTTCTTTGGCGAGATCGGTATCCTCATGGACATCCCCCGCACCGCCACCATCATAGCCAACATGCGCTCGCTGGTAGTGCGCCTGAACAAGGAGGACCTCATGAAGGAGCTGCCCGCGTTCCCCGAAGTGGAAGTGGCCATCATGCACGAAGCGCAGGAGCGACTGGCTATTCTGCAGCGCAAGAAGTCAGAGCTGGGAGGCAAGCGTCCTGCGATACCCATGCGTCAGATCACAGGCAAGCGTGACCGCGAAGATGGCGACGTGATTATGGCCGAGAGCGGCACTCTACGCGAAGGCGAGATCAATGCCTTCAAGAAGAGGAAGTCTCCCAGTCCGGGCCTCGCTGAAGCCATAGCCCATAGTGCCTTTGGAAGCGGCAGTATCCATGTGCGGCCGCTGCTCAAAGAGCTGCCTCTCTTCTCCGAGCTGCCCGACGACATCCTCCACTTCATCGGCATGCGTGCGCAACCCTGTTCGTTTGATCCTTTCACAGACATAATAAAACAGGGCACACAAGGACGTGACGTCTTCTTCATCGTGAAAGGCGAGGTTGAGGTCATCAGCATGAATGTACCTGAGCAGAACGGTACCACTTCACCCATAGGTCGTCGAAAATCCATCGCCGCGGGCGAGCAACATTTCCAGGAAGTAAAGGCCCGATTGAGGCCCGGGCAATACTTTGGCGAGGTCGTCAGTCTCTCGCTTGCGCCACGCCGCACCGCTACGGTCCGCTCCGTATCGGCTGTCGAATGTCTCATGATCAGCGGTGACACTTTGAACCACCTCTGGGAGAAGTGCACTCCAGATGTACGCCGACAGGTCGAGTCGGTCGCGAAGGAGCGGTTACGGACCGCCAAAGACGAAGATGTACACATGCTGGACGCGAACAGTACACCCAACATCAACGATCTAGCCATAGCGGATCACATAATACCTCGTACACCACGGCGCAAGAAGAGTGTGCCAACTGTCACTTTCAATGACACCATCGACATCGACAATCCGGTGACACCCACCCGGAGAGACGAAAAGATGATGGAACCATTTGATCCAGACCCATTTCTTAACGTCGATTTGGACAATGTCAGGTCGAGGTCAAGGAGAGGCTCACTAGCTCCACCCCCACCAGGATCAATACCGGACTCGCCATCCAGCCCAGCAAAAACAGATTTCCCCAAGTCACCATCGCCCGGTGGCTCGCCCCTTTCCCCATCACCATCGTTTTCCATATCGAAGCATGCGTCCACTCCACCAGAGATGCCACTCGACTATAAACGCCCTCGGCTAGTCAACAGACCAAGTAGATATGGAAGAGGCATACTGTCGGATCAAGTGCTCACTAAGATTCTTGCGAATCTAGACATACACGAGCTGATGAAGTTGCGTGTAATCTCTTCCCACTGGAACAAGTTGATATCAGAGTCGCCGGATATACTCCACGACCTTGATCTTAGCAAATACAATCGCAAAGTTACGGACCGATCGCTTGTAGACGTCATATGCCCATTCGTAGGCAGTCGTCCAAGATACATCAACATCAGTAACTGCTTCCACGTGACAGACGAGGGTTTCGCTGAGCTAGCAAAGACTTGCGGTCCGAGCGTCAGGATCTGGCGCATGAAGAGCGTATGGGACATCACTGGCCCAGCTGTACTGGAGATGGTGCAGAAAGCGAAGGGTCTTGAGGAGGTCGATCTTAGCAATTGCAGGAAAGTAGGCGACAACCTTCTCGCTCGAGTTATAGGGTGGGTGGTTCCAGAGATGCCACCTCAGATGGCAATGGCGCATGCGCAACACCAAGCTCAGATAAATGGTCGCCGACAAGGAAAGGGTGCTAATCAGCCTGCTCCGCAACCGTTACCACCTGGTACTGTTGTTGGATGTCCGAAGCTGCGACGTCTCACGCTGAGCTACTGCAAGCACATCACTGATCGCAGTATGGCCCATATCGCTGTCCATGCAGCGAACCGCATCGAGAGCATCGACCTAACAAGATGCACGACTATCACCGACGTTGGCTTCCAACACTGGAGTGTCTATCCGTTTCCACGGCTGACAAAGCTGTGTCTCGCAGACTGCACATATCTGACCGACAACGCAATTGTGTATCTGACGAACGCGGCGAAAGGACTCAAGGAACTGGACCTCGTAAGTCTACTATCTTTCATATGATGCTAGGCAGAATGGCCGTACTAACGCATATCAGTCTTTCTGCTGCGCCCTTTCTGACACCGCAACCGAAGTTCTTGCTCTCGGCCTCCCTTCACTTACGCACCTCAACCTCGCCTTCTGCGGCTCCGCAGTCTCAGACACTTCTCTTCGCTGTATATCCCTACACCTCCTCGAACTCCGAAACCTCTCTGTACGAGGTTGTGTCCGCGTCACCGGCACTGGTGTTGAAGCTGTCGTGGAGGGCTGCAGAGACCTCGAACGCTTCGACGTCAGTCAATGCAAGAATCTTGGTCGATGGATTGAAGCTGGGGGTGTAGAGAGCGTGAAGAGTCGTGGAAGAAACGTCAAATTTATCTGCGTTAGTGATGGGCGATGGAGGGATGGCAAGGGGAATGTGAGGAAGTGATGAGGAAGATGACTTTGTATGGATACTATGTGTATGGTATATGTTAAGACGGCCGCGGCGATACATTTGGCTGATCTACGAAAGCGTGTACATTGAATCATGATAGAGGAGAACTACGATACGGATGTCGGCTTGATTGTATGTGTCTCTGGGTGGGGTTTTTCGCATCTACGCAAGATACCAGGCTTTTGTTCGGTGTATTTAGCGATGTATTACTTGGAATATTAGATCTCCTTGCTCATGGTGGCGGCTTTTTGTGCTTTCTCATGTCTTCCACAAATCCACGAAGGATTTTCTTATTGGATGTGTTGCATGAGCCAGCACTTCGTCGCTCCTGCTCGCGTGCAATCCCGAGGTCTTATGAGACGCTCTATCTTCATTTGGCAAGGCGTACTGCGGGCGGAACCTAGACTATCGGTACTCCAGGCAGCTTATGCTTCCTTCGATTTACCTCACCCGCCCGCTCTTTCGCAAGCAGTTTGACCGCATCGCGCGTTACGCTAGTTGAACATATCGATCTCGGCGCCCGTCTTCGTTGCATACATAGCCAGCATCGCTTTGCCCTTAGAGTTGCTCGCCTACAATGTCAACATCAGTGGTGAAATCCGGTCGGGTCCATATATTGAGGTAAGCTTTACCTCTCTTACTAAACCCTGGTCGCTAACAGAGTTGGTAGTATGATGAGGGAGGTCGCACGTCTCTCAAGCGGGACTGAACGATTCTCTCGCGAGTTTCGTCAACGTAAAGAGGAAGTGAGAGTGAGCATCAAGGAATACGCGAAATCAGAGTGTCTAACCCTCTGCTCGATGATGCAAGAGAAGTTATCTCGCGAGCTGAGGGATATGGTCTACGAAGCCCTACTTGGTGAACCTGAGAACTATTATGTCGACAATGAAGAATTCGGGTCCGGACATTATTATCCAGCTGAAATTGTGTCCAACAATCGCCATATCGGCGACAAAACGTTCGTCGGTGAAGAAACACTTACTGAGTTGGCAGAAATGTGGTATCGGCACTCAGTCTTCAAGCTCCAAGGCAGCGATTCCGACGT